AACATGGTTTCCTTTTTAAATTTCGTGCAAAACACTTCTGATATGTTGCAATATGTTCCCCTAATCGAAAAATATCCGTATTCTATTACAGTCGACTCTCTCTATAACAGAGTGGAAGGGACCAAAAACATTTTCCTTTAGATAGAGCTTTCCGTTATATGGGTTGCCGCTCTATCTAGCTTAGCGTCGGCGAAACCGAAGTTCCATTCCGTTTATAGAGTTTTCCGCTATATAGAGTTCCGTTATAGAGAGAGTTGACTGTATTTATTTATTCGATCATTGTTCCCTTGATTCTCCTTGCCGGTCTTTTCCCCACAAACCTTACTTCTAAAATGCGATGCAACGAGGGTAGGCTAGACCTAAACTTGGGCTTATTTCCAATTAACTAACTTTCTAAATTATTGTGAGATTCTTAAACAACAACTCTTACTTTAAAGATTCTAACCAGCTTTGCGAAACCGAAACGGAAACCGAAACCTTTGCAATGCTGGTTAAAAATCATTAAAATGGTAATGCTGATTTGCAAAACCGAAGCACAAAGTACGAAAACGATTCAATAGATTTATTCAGTAACATTGTCCACATTTATGATGATAAAATATAATCGATTTTCAAAAGATTGTTCACCGATCTCCTCTCCAAGCATCACAAAGCAGATCTTCTCATTTTCGACTCTTTTAAAAACAGTTTTCTTTGTTAACTTCTCTACTTGATCTCTTGTCGTTAAAAGTGTTGCTTTGAGAGTCTTTGGTACATTAAAGTCTCTAACTATAGTGAATTGATACAAGAAAGTATCAATAATAAAGTTGTATTCTTCAGAAGAGATGGATATCTTTGTGAAACCATCAAAGTTGTCAATTAGATTCTCAATAGATTCGAAATGATCAATAACTTCATCTTCTTTAAGCACGTTAGAGAAGATTGCCGTAGAGAATTTGCTTGGAATTCCATCTCTCAAAAGCTTTTTTATGATCACATCAAAATTTGAGCGTTTTGTTGTCGCATTGTAGAGCATCTGAAGGATAAATTTGGTTTAACAAAATTTTAGATATCTAGATTCATCTAAAACGAAAAAAAGTCTGTAACACTTGTACTTTGATGTACTTGAAATCACAGTATACCTCACTCTAGCTTCTCACTACAATATGCCGGAGTTTTTCGGTAAATATTTTTCCAGATTTTTAACTGAATTCAAAAATAAAGATACTATAAAGTCCGATCTTCAGTTACCGGGATCGAACCCGAATCTTTTAGTGCTTTAGCCAAAGCTACAACCATTCGATCAATGCGTTCGACTATGCGTTTATATGCAAACCTCGCTCTACTAAAGTAAAAGTACTGTAAATATTCTAATAGATGATTCTAATTCTGATATTCTAATAGAATTCTAGTAGAATTCTAATAGAAGCGTCACATCGTCTAAGTTTACTCGGAAATAAACGTTTATATCTCAGCGCCAGTACGTTTGTTTCTGTGCGCTTAGGTATCAAATTAAAGTAGAGAGGATTGTTGATTTTTTGAGATATAACACATACTTTTAGCATTGAACAAAATGACTGAAAAATGATGAAAAATTGGCGTTTTTTTGCCACTTTTTAACCATTTTGTTCGAAGAAAGAGAAAGAAGAAAAAGGTAAAACATTTAGCCAAAAAAACGAGAAAGAAATACGGAGATTAATGCGGCGCCTATCGCTCTGAGGGTCAAGGGTTCGATTCCGGTTCGAGTCATTATATGTTGGAATTGGTTGAGTTTGAGACCGTCTCCCAAAAAACGGACAGAACTTATCCAGCAGGCCAATATTTTTGGAAGGATATGTGAGCGCTGATTTCATTCCATCACCCTAATACAAAACACCTCAAAACAAGCACTCTATCCAAAAAAAATGGCCCACCTGAACACTCGTCAATGACAAGAAATCCCAGATCGGAATCAAAGATCGATGATTTCCATGAACTAACTTTGTATCCCCAATTTGTTCAACGCTCAATAAACTAGCTAGAGTCTCTTGCAATTCTTCGGAGCTTCTCACTGGTATCAATATCGTTCCCAATCTCCAAATAATCAGTGACTTTTGCTTGAAAGTTGGCTAAAGCAACGTTTAGCAATTGACTTTTCCCATCAAATGTTAAACGACAAACAGATTGAAGTTTGGAGAGAAATGCTCCAATTTCATTGATACGATTGAGTGACTCGTTTTTAGCTAAATCTTCAAGATTGAGCTTTAATTTTCGGAGAGATTTTATTCTCTTCAAGTGATTCCACGGATTCGACATCGAGATCGGGTGACATTCTCTGAAATTTTGATAAATATTGGGTTGTTCAGTTATGAATGCGCGTTTTTTACTATTTTGTAACTTTCTCAAGATACCAAAATCAAGAAAAAGATATATATAAGTATTATTCGAAAGCTGAAGATCTCCTCTACATTTTGATATAAAAAGCTTTTGAATTTGTCCAGCTTTTGGGCAAATTGACTGCACAGAAGAAGAGGTGGCCAAAAAATGGAAGGGTGCCTTTGGATCAAGTTTTGGCTCGGCTCAAATTGAGTTAACCGTTTGATGTTTGGTCAATAGATATATCAATACAAGATTTTAAAAAATATAACAATTTCAGAGCATCTTTACTTTTCCTGCCTTTTCTGGGCGGTTATTTTACACCATAAAACTTGAGGAATAGCTAAGCTGAAATGGGTTTTTTCGGAAACGACCTCTCCCTTTGTGCAATCAATTTCCCAAAAAGTTGAATGAATTCAAAAACTTTTTATTCCAAGCTGTAGAGGAGATCTTCAGCTTTCGAATGATATATAACACTCATATACATCTGTTCGATATCTTGAGAAATTTACAAAATAGTAAAAAGGGCATTCATACCTGGACAACCCAATACAGGCCTGTTTTCAATACTTTTTAATTGCATTTTACAATTTCTAACTTCTATTTCTTCTAACAACATTTCTTTAAACCAACTGATTCCAAAGAATCGGCATCATTAACAAATTCTTCTCCCCAAAAGTTAAACAAAAAAACGTTTTCTCTCCATAATACAAATAGAGTCGAAATCGATCGTTTGGATGAAGCCATGATGGATATTCAATAATAATATTTTGAATTTTTGATGGATAGCCACCATTGAACAGAATGTGACGCCTCGACAACTGGTTCACTTCTAATAAATGTCGTTGTTCTTCAAAATGATCGACATGGTTAACGACCAATGTTTGAAGTTCTTTAGGGAATTTGGAAAATGGAATCGTATTCATAATTTGGGTGTAGCTTGAAGAAAAGTTTTCTTAGAATTAGAATCAATATGAGTCACTCTGATAAGAGGGGGTTTGTTTGAAGTGTACAGAGACTCCTATTGACACACCTATTGACAGTCTCTTTCATTGGGCTCAGTGAGGGGTAAATGTGACGTTAAATGGAACTGTTTTCAACAAGCAACGATAGTCAACGATAGTCAATGATAGCACATGAAGCAAAAACTTACAAAGATTTGTGATCGAATATGACAATCTACGGTCAATCTTGTATAATAAATATGCTCTAATGCTTGCTCCAAATCTTTGACCTATAAAAAGAGTCATTTAAGGAGCAAAACAGCAAAAGCAATCCAAGAGTATCCAAGAAAACAGCCATACTTGTTTATTAGGGTGTATTTTGTGTTAAAAATGAGAAATGATTAGTGAGTGGGACTTTTTGTCATTGTCTCAAGGTAATTGTTTATTCTTCCAAGAAATGTGCTTTCAAGAAATGTAGAAATGAGAATTTCAACACAAAGTACACCACAGAGACAAGTTTATCTTTTATAAAACCTTTTATATATGATCAAACATGAACAAAACATAAAACTGTCTCACTTGATCAAAATTCGCTTCATCTTTTTCTTTGTTTCCTTTTCAAAAGCTCAAATCTATTCTGATCTATTCTGATCTATTCAAATCTTTCCTCAAATCCTCTCTCCAGCGCTATTTTCCTACCCCTTTGTTGTTGTAGAAGTCTCTCTTTTGTTAAGCAGACATCTCTTTCTTTAACTCTTCTCGTTGCTCAATCTCCGGATCATTCATAACCATCCTCTCTTCTTACTTCAATTCTTTCTTCAACCTGTCATCTTCTCTTTTCTGCACATCTCTCAATATTTACTTCTTCAATGCTTAATCTTCTTTCATCATTTCTTCAGATCATCGAATTTATCGCTCCTTTTCGATGTCAGGTCCAATATCCGAACTGCTTCTGTGAGCTAAACGGAGATAAGCGCTGTTTTCTATCTATCAAGATATTCTTGATAGAGATTTTGACTCTTAACTTGAGCTTACTTAAAGTTCTGATATTCTAGCTGAATCTGCTGCACTAAGGCAAGCTATGGCACTCAAATCAATGCATTGAACAAATGCATTTAACAATTAATGTCTTATTCCTAGTCGTAGTCAAAAACAAAATGAGTTTAATGAGAGTTTTAAAAGTTTAAAAACTAGCTTTTAAACCTTTAGTATCAATTTTTTGTAAAGTAAACTTCAAAATTCATATTCTGTCAGTTCAGATTCTTCTTTTACAGAACTAACCTCTTCTTTCACCATGGATTAACCTTACAGAGACCAAATTGGGTGTCAATTAGGTTCAAAAGAGTCGGCTCTAGTCAGCTAAATAATAGCTAATTTCTATTTTTCGCTTTTTCTAATGATTTTCTTTATATCTATAGAGGAAAGATGAGAAAATTATATTCTTTGATTGACTGATTGGAATAAAGTGAAATAAGTAGATGAGACCAAAAAAACCAAAACAAAGATCGCAAAATAGTCCTTCATTGTTAATTTGCTTGTTAATTCAATTTTTACCCCATTTTATCACTTAAAATAACACTTTAGCAGATCAAAATCCCCCAAATAAAGTGTTGCGATTCATTTCTCTTCAAACGAGATCACAAAACATTCATTATTGAGCAATCGAGAACCATTTCAAGAAACAAAACTTCAAATTCTATATACAATCAAAAGAAAGCTTTAAGTACTTCTATTCACAAATTTAGCTAACAACGTCTGATAGGTCATGAATGAGATGCCGCTTGTCAATGGAGATTTGAAGAGATTCATCGAGAAACCCTGAAAGTTGCATACCGTATTCTCTCTAATACAGAGTAGAGTGCGTAATGAGTGTAGAGTACTCTAATGAGTGTAGTAGTGCGCACTACTATTGGGTTGTCCAGTTACGAATGCGCGTTTTTTACTATTTTGTAACTTTCTCAAGATACCGAAATCAAGAAAAAGATATATATGAGTATTATTCGAAAGCTGAAGATCTCCTCTACATTTTGATATAAAAAGCTTTTGAATTTGTCCAGCTTTTGGGCAAATTGACTGCACAGAAGAAGAGGTGGCCAAAAAATGGAAGGGTGCCTTTGGATCAAGTTTTGGCTCGGCTCAAATTGAGTTAACCGTTTGATATTTGGCCAATAGATATATCAATACAAGATTTTTTTAAAGATAACAATTTCAGAGCATCTTTACTTTTCTTTTCTTTTCTGGGCGGTTATTTTACACCATCAAACTTGAGCAATAGCTAAGCTGGAATGGGTTTTTTCGAAAACGACCTCTCCCTTTGTGCAGTCAATTTCCCAAAAAGTTCATTGAATTCAAAAACTTTTTTATTCCAAAATGTAGAGGAGATCTTCAGCTTTCGAATGATATATAACACTCAGATACATCTGTTCGATATCTTGAGAAATTTACAAAATAGTAAAAACGCGCATTCATAACTGGACAACCAAATATTTTTTCAACCCCCCTCCTGGACCGCAATACTATTAGAGAGTGCAGTACTATTAAAGAGTTTTATCATTTACCAAAGTAAGACAGATATAAGATTTGTTCCAAAAATTCTTGCAATTCTTTCAAGTACACTTTTGGCTCCTTTTGACATACAGTACTGGACAATGAAATATCATATTTGAAAAACGATTGTCACTTTCGCGCGCGCTGAAATGCGTCAAAAAATACGGTATTTCTAAATATTAATATTACCATTGTGTAGCGCTTGAAAAGAGCTTTCAGAAAATGTATAACACTAATAGTTTAAACTCCAAGATAACGAAGTTACAGACGTGCGAACGTAACGATCGTTTTTCAAATATGATATTTCATTGTCCAGTACTGTACAGTTGTGGGCCGGTGAGTTGAAAATTTGTATCTTGACAAACAACAAAAAGATTTTTTTGCACTTTGCACAACAATTTTAGATTTTTTGCTAACTTTTTCATATGAAGAATAGTTAATAAATGAATAAAAAAAGTCTCACTTTTGCTTGCGTGAATGGCTTTAGAATGTCACAATGTAAACATAAAGTCAAAAAGGTTTAGATGAAAAAGAAGCACCAGAAAGTCAAATTTTCCAGGGTGCACTACTATTTTTTCAGCCCCCTCTCGGACCGAAATACTATTAGAGAGTGCACTAATATTAGAGAGAATACGGTATATTGAACCGATTGGCTATTGTTTTTTTTAAAACCAACCTTATACCATCCATTCATAAATCCCTCATTCTTGATAATCATTCGCAAAGCATCGACAATCCCGCAATCACTCGGTAGTCGGCCGGTTTGCATCCGCCGTCTCACGATGTCCAATGGGTAAGTAGCGGCTTGACCTGAAAACTTCTTGAAAAATATTTTAAAAGCTACTGGCTAGATTAATACAGTTAAATCTAACTTCTTAAATCCACAGATAACACTAAAATACTTTTGGATATTCATGGGTGAACGTATTCGTTGTGAAGTGCCGAATCAAGTAAAGTAGCCGAATGCAAACTTGAAGCACGCAAAACGGTTGAGTTTCAATGATGGCTGTTTTTTCTTTCTTTTTTCTTAAAAAGATAGAAAAATGTATAATAAACATTTTGCTATTTAGAGCCAATTGTAGGTGAATTGGTGAATTTGTCATTTATAAACACTAGTAGAAAAAAGTGTTCAAAGATTTATGAACCTAATATCAAAGAAAATGATCTCACTATCAGTCAGACAAAACTCACTTGTCACTCCTGCAACCGCTCCACAAGCAAAGTTCTCCAGATTGCTCATCTAAAAACAAAGCTGATTGATCTTAAACTTTATATCAATAAATGTTATTTAAAACTAAAGTAATCACTTTAGTAAAACTTTGCAAACAACTATGACTTCAAGCTTTTATTAGGTTAAGGAAAAGACTCAGCTGACTGACGGATTGCTGCGAAAAATTTTGACCTGATTCAGCTGCGAAAAATTCAATTTCTATGTGCACTTTAATAACAAAAATAACAACAATCATTCCTCAAAGTATAGCTCATCATTCTCTACGATTTTCTACCATCAATCTGCAAGCTTTTGGATCTGGTCGATGTACCACTCTTTCGGTTTCGAATCAGTATCGCAAATCTCTTCCACGGCATCTCTTGTTGAAAGTTTCTGCTTCCAGGAATAGCGGATCAAAATTCGAAACTCTTTTTCTTGCAAACTCATCTGGAATTGGTACAACACAGATCAAGATTGGTACAACATAAATGCAAAAAAACCAGCAAGAACATGCATAAAAATAGAATTTTTCGCAGCTAAGTCAGAGCTTTTCCCTCAACCTATTAGGTTTTTCGGATATAAACGAGTGTTTGCACTGCTTAACTCGTGAGGAAGCCATTTCCCGCATCTGATCGTTTCTCAAAGGGCGTGGAGATGCTCATCAATAGTAGAATTTGAACATAGAAACTGTTGAGCAAGTTCAGGCGTCGTTTGACATGGATCTGATTCGATTGCAGCCCTCAAAATATCGTTGTCTACCGCTTGAGGTCGACGAGAGTGTTCATCATCCTCGAGACTTTCATCACCATTCCGAAAGCGTTGGAACCAGACTCAGCATCGGCTTTCGGACAATACATCATTCCCAAATGCTTTGACCAAATCTCAATGGGATTCCACGACTGTCTTGCCCAGTTTGAAGTCATAAAGTAGGCAGCCGCGAACTTGATATATTTGAAATCGGTCATCTAAAGCAAGAAAAAAAGATTCCAAAAATAAGAAATTATCCGTTTAAAAATATTCCAAATATGCACAAGATAACGTACTTTTAAATACAGAAAGACATGTTTTAAAAGCTTCTCTCACAACAATAAGTTTAGCAACGCTTGTTTATATCCGAAGAACCTAATAATAATCACAAACCTGTCTTCCTGTCTGTTCTTTATGAATGAGAGTCAATGAGTCGAATGTGAAGAAAGCGATTCCTCCGTAAGGAGCCATTCCGAGCAAAGTCGGGATAACACCTCTGAAAATTTGCATAAAATTCTATTATTATTTTAAATTTGAATAACTTAACTGTTTAAAAATTTTTTAATAAACCTGTAGAGTGATCGAAGCTTTCCATTCTTGTAGGCATCAACGAACACCCAAGCAAGCGTATGTTTGTGTTGAGGGTCGGAAATTGCTCAAATAAATGACTGTTTTAAGATTTTAAATAAGATTTAAGATAAAAATAAAGAAACATAAAGAAAAATAAAGAAAAATCAATAGAAATAAAGTTTCTTTCTTACCTAAAATAGCTCTAGCACTATCTAGTGGATATGTACAAAAAGAAGCGGTCAGTCCAGTTAATGCTCCGGAAAGCAAACGTCTCCATGGGGTGTGACTGAAAAGTAAATAGATCAAAAAGTCAGTTTTTCTATAGTTAAGTATATAGTTTAAGTAAGTAGACCATTTCTTTAGCAATTTTTATTGTATCTTTTCCTAACCTGTCCACATCGACTCTCAACCATTGTGAGTACTTCTCGTGTGATGCAAATTGAATTGCCGAGAAGGGAATCACTCGGGCTAGTTGTGCGGAATGACCTCTAAACCTTTGTTTTCCAATTTTTATTAAGATTTTATTTGAAAATTAAGTTTAAATGTATTTGGAAGTCAAGTTTATACCAACAACTGCTCAAAGAGCTACTAGAAAACTTCTTTTCAAGATTCTTCAACTATTCTTCAATACTCTTCAATTGTTTTTATTTCTAATCTGCTTAAATGCTTGTAAATCATAAATTAATAGATTATACTATTGTTATTTAAAAGATTTACTTACTTAAATAATGTGGTGAAACCATGAGTCCTGTAAGTGTCGGCAATGAAATGGAGAACGGCTCTGATCGAATATTTTTCAGTAGAAGAGACTGAAAAAAGGCTTAATTGATTTCATTTTCCTTTTAATTTCAATAAAACATTAATCAATAAACTCTTCAATGATCTCTAACCTTGGAAATAAATTTTCGACCTCTCCAATGGGGCGATCACCGTCTTAGCGGTGGCTCCGGCGATCGCCCCGGCCACTAGCGCTGATCCAGTCTTCTTTTGCTAAACAATTCATTTCAAAGCTTAATTTCTTAGTTTCTTAGTTGATTTTTTCAGTTATTAGCTGATTTTTTAAATTCTTAGCTGATTTTTTAAGTTATTAGCTTATTATTAAACTAATAATCACTATTTAATAAGAACAATTAGCATTTTATTAAGTCAAAATGATTGAATGAATCAAAAGTTATAAATTGTTGCATTGGCTCTCTAAAACTCACATTTTTCGAGCCACCATTATGCATTGAAGAAATTATTAGCCAAATAAGCCAAAGCCAATGCCAAAGCCAAATAATTTGATGAGTTAAGAAAGAATTTGAAAAGTTTCTGAAAATTCGTTGCTCAAAGCGTTGTTGTTTGTTATTTGATGACCGAGATTCTTTTCTTTTCTTCTTTTTTCTTCGACATTTTCTTTTCCCAAGCTACAAACGACAAACGAGGTCAAAATTCGAAAAGTTTTGGCTTAAAAGATAGAAAACAATGTCTTTATTAAGTGTATTTTAATTCGCTTTTGATCAGCAAGAATTTATGATCGACTTTCAAACAATTTCAACGTGTTTTCCCTTCAAAGTTCCAGATTTTCTCTCGAAATTCTGATACAACATTAATAAGCCATAAAAAAGCAGAGATTCTCCCAAAACGCACCAAATTGTGGCCACGTCCTGAAGATTTTCTATAACTTGATTAGGTTTATGAATATTGTCGTTGATCCATTTACTTACTGCATCGTCAACTCTCCCAACTAAATTCCAAAGGGTTTTTGATGAGAAAATAAACAAAAGAATCACAGTCAATGCTCTTAAAGGGAATTGATTTGGAAACAGCTTTAGAATGGGTTTAGCCAAGAGATAGGACATTGCGCAAACTTGGAAACAAAACAAGATCCAGACAAGGGTGTAACTGTTAGCCGAGACAAACTTTTGATAACAATAATTCTCATTACTAATCATTTTTCTAAGCTCAAAGAGATAAATTGTGTAGTGATCGTAATTTGGAATGTTGAGGAAAAAGAGTAGAAGGAGAAGAACTGTGATTGAGCTGTAAATGACGATCTCACGGTCAAGGGTTGGACGAAAGGGGAGAAAAGGTTTCAGAATATAGCGAGTACCAAAGAATGTTGTGCAAAACCAAAATGGGGCAATGCGAAGGATTAATAGATTGAGAAAGACAATGTTTTTGAGCTTTCCAAAGCGATTCGCTAGGTCCATTAGTGGATTCATTGAAAAGGGACAATCGCCATGAGTTTTATAGACTTTTCCCCGAATCGACAACGACTGAAAATCTGGTTTTTATGATCTCTTTAGCTTTCAATCTCAATTTTAAACTGCTTAAATAGATATTGACAAGATCAACTTGTGATTTCTGACTCATTTTCTCATCACAAACCTCAACAAATGTCCAGCCAAGCATGAAGAGAATGATCCAACACTTCCAGGTGTACACATTGTACAGAAACTCAATGGTTTCAGTCTTTAGATCTAAATCTTTTTCTACTTTCACTGATTTCACTGGTAGGTGATTTGAATTACAAAATTTGAATTTAAACTGTCTTCTGGGTTTAAACTATGACCGCGAATTATAGCGACTCACTTCTGAGGATCTAGCTCAGCGAGAACTTAATAAATCCTTATGAAATTTTTGGAGATGATTTCTAAGTATGTCTCCTGTAGCCAAGCTCATTTTCTAACTGATTGGTACTTCTAGAATCTTTATATGACTTTACAAAGGTGAGAGTCGCGGTATACCTGGCGAAAAACCCAATTTAAGGCTTTTAAGAGCCGTTTTTTCTTAAAATGTTACAGACTCCTTATGTTTTTTCGATAAATGACATCAAATCAAGAAGAAAGAAACGATAATCTTTTCAAAAAAAGATGTCATCGGGTTTTTTCTCTAATTTTTGAGTGAACTCCCTAATCACATTTTGTTAGGAAGCTGGAGTTTAAACAAATTCGACGAGAGAAAATCAAATTTCTATGAGGTGTTTAATCTTCTGTTTAATCCATTTGATCTTTTTTTGTCTTAAACGTAATCATATGCATTAAATAACTTCAAAAACGGCTCTCTCAAAAGCCTTAAATTGGGTTTCTTCTCAGGTTTTTCTCGACTCTCAACTTTGTAAAGTCTTATAAAGATTCTAGAAGCACCAATCAGTTAGAAAATGAGCTTGGCTACAAGAGACATACTCAAAAATGACCTCCAAAAATTTCATACGGATTTATTGAGTTCTCGCTGAGCTAGATCCTCAGAAGTGAGTCGCGGTCATCCTGCAGTTTAGTTCGTTTCTCAAAAGTGACTAGGTTAGGTACCTTCAAATCGTTTCCACATCATCAGCCATCGATCTTGCATGTTTGACTTTGTCGACAAGTTTTCTTGATCTAAAAGAAGAATTAGAAGAATTAAGAATTAGAATAAAATACATCAAAACACCAATAATTTATCACCTTCCTTTGCCCATTTAGCGTCGTGTTTGTTTGAAATTTTCATTACTCAATGAATCAATCGAGCATAAAAGCGAATATTAAAGAGATCAGCAATCGGATTTTGTTAGGAAGTGCGATCAATTTTGACAGAAATAGTTGGGTTGAATTGAATCCAAAGAGGTGACCCCAGGCGATGCCTCTGGCTTTCTTCTGTTCCATTCGATCTCCCAATCAGTTTAGGTGTTAAAAGCAAAGGAGAGATGTAAGGAATGGACAGCAATCTTCAAGTGAAGCAATTGAACATCCCCGATAACTATAAGGTAAACTTTGTCAGATAATTATAATTCACAAAAACAAAAAAGGGTACTTTTCCGTCATGAGGGTCTATTTCTCATAACGGCTGGTACTTTTTCGTAGAGCGTCTCTGGGGCTTTGCGTAGTGGAGGAACGAAAAGCACAGAGGTACTGCCAGGCACTTCCTTTCAAGCTATTTGGCCGAATTTATAGTGCGACAAGAAGTTTGAGACAACCATATGTACGATTGGATCTTATCGCTTATTTCAAGTGCTTGCCCGCCTCAAATTGGCCTAATTTATGTAAATTTGCAAGAGCATACTGACCAAAAGATCATTGCATTATCAACACACTTGTGGAAATCACTTGTGGAAACGATGCATGCACGATGATCACATGGTTGTCTCAAATGGCGAATTAAAATGAAGTGATTCTACTTGTAAAGAATACTTAGAAAAAAATAGATCGTGCGCCGCAAGCAATCTTCATCAAAATCGCCTCAATCTTTCGATTAAAACCAAAAATCACTTCAAATCTTTATTTGAATAATATTTTAATTAAAGAAGAACATTCTTGGTTTAACTTTTTGAAAATATTCACATTTTGGGGCTAACTCAGACGTCTTCTATTTCAATCTTCAGCTCCTATCACTTGGACTGTGCGCGAGGGAAATCCATTCTATTTTGTAGCCTATTTTGCTAAATTCAAAAAAGAACTATTAAAATAACACTAAAATAAAGATTTAAAGAGATTTTCAGCTTTAATCGAAAGATTTAGGCGATTTTGATAAAGATTGCCTTCAGCAGACGGTCTATTTTTCAAGTTCAAGTTCAAAGCACACGGTCCAAGTAGTCTTCCATCCGAATAAAAGAAGATCAAACCGTGTTTTATTAACTTTGTTTTGTTTTTGTGGATTATTTTTATTGTTTTACGATGAAATTTATCTTCGTGAAGAAGTTTTCAAGAAAATTACAAGGCTGATCAATAATTTTCACGCACCCTGTAGTTCCTAAAAAATCTAATCATTCAAGAACCCTTAAACTTCTAAAACTTTATCATAATTACTTTAATTATAAAAATTGCTTAAGAATTTGTGTTTTGTGCAGAAAAAAAAGGATTCTTTTCTCTTTAAACTGGTCAAATTTTAGCCCACAACAATAATTTGAACTAATAATTAGATACTGTAAACAAAAAGATAAATGAAACTGCCAAGTTTACTTAGAATGGATTGACAAGGAATCGAAGAATTGCACTTTAAGAATCAATAAAAGATGAGATGAGTGCTATAAACAATACAATGTTTTGGATTTTGTATCGAAATGTGCTTATTGGGTTGGTGAATTGAAAACTGCGGGACTTTGAACTAGAATTTATTCAACATAAAACATAATCTTGACGGATTCTAGATTGGATGTCCGATCTAGAGTGAAGTGAGGTCAAATGTCCGATCTAGAATCAAGTCGATCCCTCTAAATCGGACGTCAAATCTAGATCGGATCTATTGGGTTGGTGAATTGAAAACTGCGAGGCTTTGAACTAAAATTTATTGAACATAAAACCATCAATTCATTCAAAATAATTTCCATTATTATTGACGACTTCTGCCCATTTTACAGGCAGTTTGCGGATTCCTCTTTCGTCGTAGGATTTTGGTTTGTGTGTGAGACTCAAAAATGGAGGACTAGCTATGTCACAGTTTGAGAACTTTCCTCAAAAGAAACCCACTTTGGTGTCAATGGAAAAGTTGTAGAGAATCAAAAATTAGGCTTATAGCCAAATTTCCAAAAAGATACACTTAGTAGTTTCGCTTAAAATGCAAGTTTTGTGAAAATTTGTAAATTTGGCATTTCTTGAAAACCAGTTTTTGAATCGCACTGAAAATTTGGATATAAGCTTAATTTTTGATTCTCTACAACTTTTCCATTGACATAAAAATGGGTTTTATTTGAAGAAAGTGCTCAAACTGTCACATATGACAATAGCCGGCAGTTTGCAATTCACCAACCCAATATAAAAGGACCCATTTTCTCTAATAATCTAATTCGAAACTTTGACACAATTTTTTTTGGGTAAGACGGTAGAAAAATAACTTGTCTATCTAAATGAAACTTTTAAATGAACTTTTGAATCAATGATATGTGTTAAAACAGCAAAAGAATTTGAGGTTTGGTGCGGAAAAGGCACTATTTCTCTTCACGTTTTTTCTTCTAACTTGTTTCAATTTTATTTCTCTTATTGACAACAATTTGAACTTATATGAACTTATAAAAACTGTCAACAAAACTTACAAATGATGATAAAATGATAAATGTTTTTCAAATACTTTCAGAAATAGTAGATCAATCCAAAGAATGGTACTTTAAATGTCAATGAAATGAGCTCAGTAAACAACACATTGTTATGTGCTAAATTTGTCTATAAAAGGATCATTTTCTCAAATAATTCTCTTAAAATTGAAAATTTTGATACAAATTCAGATTTAATAGAAACATTTTTTAGTTCAGTGATGAAATTTCTTCTTTTCTTTCTCGTTCTCGTTTGCGTTTTGTCGGTTTGCTTGTAAGTTTGTATAATTCTGTGTAAGTTTTCGTACAATAGAAAAGTCAAAAGTCAAAAGTACAAAAGTCAATTAAAACTTTGAAAGTTTAAAATATAATATTTCAATACCTTAAAACTACAGTACTGGACAATCAAATATCATATTTGAAAAATGTTCGTCACGTTCGCACGTCTGTAACTTCGTTATCTTTGAGTTTAAACTATTAGTGTTATACATTTTCTGAAAGCTCTTTTCAAGGGCTACACAATGGTAATATTAATATTTAGAAATACGGTAAAGACAAGGGAGTTACAGACGCGCGAAAGTGACGATCTTTTTTCAAATATGATATTTCATTGTCCAGTAGTGTAGCTATACTTGACAAAAATTCCTCGTACAAAAAAGCTAAATTGCTAAAACTTTCAGCGCCACTCGCGAAGAAACAATGGTCAATGGGAAAAGGGAAATGAACAAGGACATTAGGTGACTATAATTATAACTACAGTAACTTAATTAATCTCAAAAATCAAAAATATTCAAACATAACTTTCTTATTGTTCTACTTTTAACAAAAAAGTTATATGGGATTGAGTTTTTTTCAGAAATCAGCGGGAAATGCCCGATAATCACACTCCACTCAAGAGAGAAGCAATGGGAATTAGGTAAGAACTTCATTTTTCTCAATTAGATTAAACTACAACCTTTATAATTTACGAAATATTAATAACAAGTTGACTTGGGACATTAGATGACGGACATTAGGTGACGGACAATAGGTGACGGACATTAGGTGACTATAATTATAACTACAGTAACTTAATTAATCTCAAAAATCAAAAATATTCAAACATAACTTTCTTATTGTTCTACTTTTAACAAAAAAGTTAGGATGGGATTGAGTTTTTTCCAGAAATCAGCGAGAAATGCCCGATAATCACTCTCCACGCAAGAGAGAAGCAATGGAAATTAGGTATTAGCAAACATAACTTTCTTATTGTTCTACTTTTAACAAAAAAGTTAGGATGGGATTGAGTTTTTTTCCAGAAATCAGCGAGAAATGCCCGATAGTCACGCTCCACTCAAGAGAGAAGCAATGGGAATTAGGTAGCGACTAAATTTTTCTCAATTAGATTAAATTACAACCTTTATAATTTACGAAATATTAATAACAAGGCGACTTAGGACATTAGGTGACTATAAGTATAACTACAGTAACTTAATTAATCTCAAAAATCAAAAATATTCAAACATAACTTTCTTATTGTTCTACTTTTAACAAAAAAGTTATATGGAATTGAGTTTTTTTCCAGAAATCAGCGAGAAATGCCCGATGAACATGCTCCACGCAAGAGAGAAGCAATGGGAATTAGGTAACAACTTAATTTTTCTCAATTTTAATGTTTTCAGCTGAATTTTAAGAGCTAATTTCAGATATAGACGTAGTGGCAGTCGTCGTATACACCGTGATGTGCATCAAAAACGCTATGGCCTTGATGGAAAGAAATAAACACCAGTGATCCTTTTTCCTTTCAGCTTTTTTGCTCTCTTCAAAAGATAGATAGATAAAGTGACATGTTTATGTAAAAAATTGTGAACACAATTTATTAAGGAGCTGTATTACAAAGAGGAGTCATGCAACATCTTTCCGAATATCGTTCCATTCTTCGTGTTATTGCATCGTATTGGGTTTCGATTGATGTGTTCGCCTGCGAAAATTTAAATTAAGATACAATTAGAAGCGAATTTTAAGTAAAATGTATGAAAAATGGGCGTGAAATGGTGTTTCTTTAAAGACAAATAGCGAGAGTCTTTCAAAATCTTTCAAAGGGACTAAGAGGTGAGTCAAATTTACTTGTAGTCGGCGATCGCAATGGAGAAAACGTCCCCGTCCTCCTCCATCCACAAGATCATTATTCAGTTCTTGAGGATTCACACAATCATGATATTTCTAAAATAACTGGTGGTTTTGTCGTTATTTGTATTTGATTCAGAGCCAAAGCCAAAGCCAGAATATTATCTTTAATATAATATTGTCTTTCAGTTGCAGTCGTTCATTTGTTGACCTTTTCTGAAATAGAAAAGGCCTGGAGAAAGGGAATCCGAAAATAAAAACAAACAAATGAGTATTGTGACTAAAGCTAGGAGTTAGTTTTGGAAAACTTTCATGTAGTTTCTCTGAAAATCCTAATCAAATACCTTGTTGATTTAATGCCTCAAAAACTAGTGCTTACTTGTCAACAGTTTCTGGTTTACTGGTCTAAAAACAGTTTCTGGTTTGCTTTTCTAACAATAAGTTAGATTAGTATATGATATTCAATATTTATCACCAATAGAACACTAAATTTAAGGCTCGTCTTTTATAAATCTAATGTTAGAAAAGAAACAAACATTTCAAACACATACTTTAACAAGTTTAAGTCACTTTTTTTGCCTTTCAATGGTCTAGAATTTAGGAAATTCGAAATAATTTAGGAAGATGCCTGATTGTACCGATGTAAATGCGCTTTATTTGCTAATTTTCTTGAATACAGGGTGTTCAATATTTATGGAAACTAATAGTTCACGAAGTTTAAGGCTTGCTTTGTACAAATCTCAAAAAGAAACAAACATCTCAAACTCATAAACTTTAACAAGTTTAACAAGTTTAAGTCCATTTTTCAAAATTATTGCCTTTGTCTAGAATGTTTGTCTGTTTGTTTGTCTAGAAACACTCGTCAGTAAAAGTGAGCATGCCATGCTTGTCCCAACTTTGTAATTCAGTGCTTTCTTCATAATTTTGGCGCTGTTGCTTGCCTAGAAGCACCTGTAGAAAGCACCTACTCTGGCATAAATTCAGTTTGTCACAAACCTATATGAAGTTTTCTTGAAAACTGAAACTGAACCAAAACTGAAATATGATTCCAACATTTGAATCTCCCATGAATTTGAAAGCTGGTAAATCGTGAAGAATTTCTTATGATTAAACAAGAATTACTAGATCTGATCCCTTCAGGTGTAATTTAGTGATCGAATTCTAATGAATCGGTTTTTCGAAAAAGAAATTGAGTAAACAGTAAAAGTAAGCATGCCATGCTTGTCCCAAATTTGTAATTCAGTGCTTTCTTCATAATTTTGGCGCTGTTGCTTGCCTAGAAACACCTGTAGAAAGCACCTACTTTGGCATAAATTGGGTTTGTCACAAAAATATATTAAGTTTTCTTGAAAGAATCAAAACTGAAATATGATTCCAACATTTTTAATGTCCCATAAGTTTGAAAACTGCCAAATAATGAAGGATTTCTTTATCATTAAACAAGAATAACTAGATCTGATTCCGTTCAGGTGTAATTTAGTGATCGAATTCTAATGAATCGGCTTTTCGCATAACAAATTGAGTAAACAGTGAGCATTCCATGCTTGTCCGAACTTTATAATTCAGTGCTTTCTCAATGATTTTTTTATGAACCTATTTTCGAAGAAGCAACCTTTAAACTCAAAGTTTTTATAAAGATTGAACACCCTGCACATCGGCGCGGAAATGCGTTTTCTATCGAATTTTTCTGGGAGTACCTTTTTTAGATGCGGAAAATTGTGCTGATTCCGAATCTGAAGGAATTTTTCAAATCCCTCTGACAGAAATTTTTAAAATCTAGGTTTAGCGGTTTTTTGGTCATTTTGTACGGGAAATTTTGTGGTACCCTGCAGTTTGGGGCTCGTAACTCGACAACGAGGGTCTAGAACCAAAAACGAAGGGATAAGTTTTATTCTAGAGACTCTTACCAACATTTTGATGCAAAAATCATCAAATTTGCTCAACTCTACAAAAGGTTATAACATCTTTAAAGAAATTTTGCATTTTCTCATTTCTTTTTTAAAAAATGTTATAACCTTTTGTAGAGTTGAGCAAATTTGATGATTTTTGCATCAAAATGTTCGTAAGAGTCTCTAGAATAAAACTTATCCCTTCGTTTTTGGTTCTAGACCCTCGTTCTCGAGTTACGAGCTCCAAACTGCAGGGTACCACAAAATTTCCCATACAAAATGACCAAAAAACCGCTGAACCTAGATTTAAAAAATTTCTGTCAGAGGGATTTGAGAAATTCCTTCAGTTTTAGAATCAGCACAATTTTCCGCATCTAAAAAAGGTACTCCCAGAAAAATCCGATAGAAAACGCATTTTTGCCTTATTTCGCGCCGATGTGCCCCGTACTTCGTATTCCTTTAAGATAGTATTCCTCTAAGGATACCGCACTATTTTTAAACTCACTGGAACCAAATGGTTCGGTAACTTAGTTAATTACTTTGATTTTGATAAATGTAGTGTGAAAGGATAAAGTGAAGTGCCTCTGTGGCAGAGAAACAAAGTAAACGATTATCTCACCTGTTCACCGATCGATATCACAGCACAAACTCGACTTGGACAGTCTTTTGTCTAAAAGAATACATTAAAATGAAATAAATTAATAGCTTACGATTAGCTGATTGATATGAGGCAATGAGCGCCAGCAAAGGAATTGGCTTCTTGTTAAAGCGATAAATGTGAAGAGGAAAAGAATGAGTCGCATTTTCTGTAAAAAAAAATCAATCTTCATTATATTTGTTGGACAATTTTATGGCTTGAACAAAAGAAATAAAGAAAATTAAGAAGTAAAGATAACAATTAAAGCTATAGTATTAAATCTTATTGTTTTATTCAGTTCAAAGCTTTGGAAATCAAAAGCAAGTCAGTAGTAATGAAAAGCTCAAGTTTTTTATTAGTTTTAGATGGAAAAAAAGCGCTTTTTGCTAGAAAAAGCAAGTCTGAACAGTCAAAAAGAGTATAATTTGTACAAATACAAAGGAAACACGATTAGTTCAGGACTTTGTTTTGGCCGAATGCCTTTTTGGGAAAAATTGTCTCAAATTTCCTCTTCAGCTCCTCTAGCTTTATGATTGCACATTTGACCACAGGGTTTTTCGTTTTTTTTTTTTCGCATTGTAGTCAGAATATTTTTGGATACACACGTTCATTTTTACGTTAGATTTTAGTATTACTTGATTATGAGAAGAAGATGGAATATCTTGATACAGATTTTCATAAAAACGAGCTATTTTGAATAGGTTCGAAACGAGCTTGTACATAGATATTGCCAAGTTTCTTTTATTGTAGAGTTAACACTAAAATCCTTTTATTGTAGAATTAACACACCAAAAGAAAGAAAAATACAGAGAAAATAAGAAAACCGAGAGAAACCCGAGAGAAAACGCAGCGAATCAGCTTGATCTCTATTGATCCGAGAGTCGCTGGTTCGAATCCTGCCCGCGACAAAATTTTCAACTCTTTCTTTTCAAAAGCGAATATCTATTGATCTGAGGTTTTGAAGTTTTGAATTTCTTGGCGTAATTTTTACCTCTGCTCACGAAAAACATGTTTTTAGCCTAAGTTGTTAAGCAAAAAACTGACAAAACGAGATTTTTGCACTTTTGGTCTGACCACCTTTATTACCTCTTTAACTCTGAACTTCCTCTGTAAAAACTTTAAGACGCAATAAATAAATAAGCTATTTTTTGATGAAATGCGCTTGATAATTAGCTTTCGAACGAGCTATTACACTTCTAAATTGATTGAATTTGAGAGTCTCTCCCAAAAAAATCGCACAAACTTTTTGTCTAACCCAATACTTTCCTCTGAAATAACCAAATCTGAAAATAAAATATCTTTTTCTTTAAGACATTTAGAAAACGATATTTCAATGCATAAAAATCATTCACAGAGGCTTCAAAACTAAACAAACTAAACAAACGAAGCTTTACTCAAATAGCATCAATGTGTACACAAACCAAATAACGAAATGAAATGAAATAACAATTCACTTCACAATTAACTATTTAAGTACCAGTTTACCAGCTTATTCCAATTCTAAATTGAACGATTATGAAGCTCACAATTTTCTTGCTCTTTGTCTACGCGATTTCCGCTGTTGTAAGTTGTTGTCACGGTGCTTTCAAGTATAAATAAACATTTAAATTTGAAAGTTTGAATCATAATGCATTTGTTTCCAAATTTCGTTACAGCCAACCGAAAACTATGAGCTGGATTGCCCGGATAAAGATACCGATTGTGCGTATTGGGCATCGATTGGCGAATGTCAGAAAAATCCACTCTGGATGTTACCGAACTGTCAGAAATCGTGCCAAACCTGTAGAGGACCTGGTTTGTTTCAAAAAACGTTAACTAGTTATTAGTTGGTTAACTCAAACTAACGTTTAAACTTGGTTAAAACTCAACTACATAGACTTTACCAATTAATATCGGTTGACTTAGTAATAAGATTTACTAGTTTTACTCCATACCAGCTGAGGTCCCGCTTAACTTTTTCTGGATGTTTTGGGAAATAACGGCTTTTGTCGCCGTGGATAGCGCCCCAGTGGATAGCGCCCCAGTGGATAGCGCCCCAGTGGATAGCGCCCCAGTGGATAGCGCCCCAGTGGATAGCGCCCCAGTGGATAGCGCCCCAGCGGATAGCGCCCCAGTGGATAGCGCCCCGGTGGATGGCCCGGGATACGCCCCAGTGGATAGCGCCCCAGTGGATAGCGCCCCGGTGGATAGCGCCCCAGTGGATAGCGCCCCAGTGGATAGCGCCCCAGTGGATAGCGCCCCAGTGGATAGCGCCCCAGTGGATAGCGCCCCAGTGGATAGCGCCCCGGTGGATAGCGCCCCGGTGGATAGCGCCCCGGTGGATAGCGCCCCGGTGGATAGCGCCCCAGTGGATAGCGCCCCGGTGGATAGCGCCCCGGTGGATAGCGCCCCAGTGGATAGCGCCCCGGTGGATAGCGCCCCAGTGGATAGCGCCCCGGTGGATAGCGCCCCAGTGGATAGCGCCCCAGTGGATAGCGCCCCGGTGGATAGCGCCCCGGTGGATAGCGCCCCAGTGGATAGCGCCCCAGTGGATAGCGCCCCAGTGGATAGCGCCCCAGTGGATAGCGCCCCAGTGGATAGCGCCCCGGTGGATAGCGCCCCAGTGGATAGCGCCCCAGTGGATAGCGCCCCAGTGGATAGCGCCCCAGTGGATAGCGCCCCAGTGGATAGCGCCCCAGTGGATAGCGCCCCAGTGGATAGCGCCCCAGTGGATAGCGCCCCAGTGGATAGCGCCCCAGTGGATAGCGCCCCAGTGGATAGCGCCCCAGTGGATAGCGCCCCAGTGGATAGCGCCCCAGTGGATAGCGCCCCAGTGGATAGCGCCCCAGTGGATAGCGCCCCAGTGGATAGCGCCCCAGTGGATAGCGCCCCAGTGGATAGCGCCCCAGTGGATAGCGCCCCAGTGGATAGCGCCCCAGTGGATAGCGCCCCGGTGGATAGCGCCCCAGTGGATAGCGCCCCAGTGGATAGCGCCCCAGTGGATAGCGCCCCAGTGGATAGCGCCCCAGTGGATAGCGCCCCAGTGGATAGCGCCCCAGTGGATAGCGCCCCAGTGGATAGCGCCCCAGTGGATAGCGCCCCAGTGGATAGCGCCCCAGTGGATAGCGCCCCGGTGGATAGCGCCCCAGTGGATAGCGCCCCAGTGGATAGCGCCCCAGTGGATAGCGCCCCGGTGGATAGCGCCCCAGTGGATAGCGCCCCAGTGGATAGCGCCCCAGTGGATAGCGCCCCAGTGGATAGCGCCCCAGTGGATAGCGCCCCAGTGGATAGCGCCCCAGTGGATAGCGCCCCGGTCTATCACCCATACGATCCGGGTTCGACCTCCTCGTGTGGCTCGAATCGTGCTTTTTAAAAAATCCAAAGGCACGGTGCACAACTACATGTAATTCCTTATTCAACGGCGCAAAAATCATTGAAAACGGCTCACTGGGCGCGGAGGAGTAGCGCGCAGAGATGGACAGACAGACAGATGGATAGACAGACAGACAGACGGGCAGACAGACAGACGGACGGACAGACAGACAGACGGACGAACAGACAGACAGACGTCTTAGTCCCTTTATATATAGTAGATTATGAATGGATTCATCAAGCTTTTGCATCTTTAACAGACATGTACCAAAGCCTGTCAATTTGCCAAAAATTTCATGAATTTAAGATTGCCAAGACAAAAACGCGATGTGCTCGGTGTGGGCTTCAAGTGGCGAGTGCACGAATAACCCAGGCTATATGCATCCAAATTGTGGCTTCAGTTGTGCCACTTGTTAGCTTTTAAATCTAATTTTATCTATGTATTTTGTCAAATAAAATCTTTAATCATTCTTGCTTTAGAAGTGTTCAAGTTGTGTCCTTCTTAGAATACTTCTTAGGTATTTTTTTTTCTTGGTTTTTATGTCAAGTCTTTAACTGTTATTGTTCTCATAGCTTAAAGCTCTTTAAATATTTATTTTGTATAAGTACAATTCCTGTTACGACAAATATCAGTCGGTGAGAGGCCGGCTTTTACTTCATCAATAAACGAGACTTTATTGCTTTCAAAAAGCTCTTTGCATCCATCGTCTAACTAAATAAATTCTCGAAGATTTACAATTAGTTGACTTTGTAAACACAGTATAGATTTTGTAAAACAAACCACATCATCCTTTTGACACTTGACCTTGATGAATGCTTTCATTTTGTCGTCAGTGAGCTCATTCAAATCACCACCCACAAAGTTCTTGATATCAGCAATGTTTTCCTGAAAACTTTTTTCAAAGTAAACTTGTTAACACATTTGGTAAGTCTGTTGAATTTCTATTGGGTTGGTGAATTGAAAACTGCGGGGCTTTGAACTAAAATTTATTCAACATAAAACCATGAATTCATTCCAAATAATTTCCATTATTATTGACGACCTTTGCCCATTTTACAGGCAATTTGCGGATTCCTCTTTCGTAGTAGGATTTTGGTTTTGAGTCGAAAAACTTTCAAAATCCTGCTTCTCCCAAATCGAAGTGTTCTCCCGCAAGCTCATTACTCATGATCCGGAATAAATAGTAATCAAAAGGGGCGAGGTCCGGAGAAAAATTGCAAAACCAAGTAAAAAAGCTTGATTCATAATGAATAAGATATCAAATTATCGCTCTCAAAACAACAAATCAATTTTGCAGATCATTCTTGCGTTTTCAAGGTCAAATTGGGCAAAAAGAGAGCAGTGAGAAACAATGAGAAGTTGAGAACACTAGTTGAGAACATCAGTTGAGTTAAAGGTCAAAAGTTATTTACATTTCCAACATTTGGGAAGAAGAAAGATTTTCTCAAAGCAATTCCACTTCATTCACAATTCGTTTAACTGATGTAACTTTAACTAGCAGAAAAAAACCCATTATCGTGACAAATATGCAACATAAAATTTGTCTAGTTTGACAGACATTTCACATAAAGTATTAATGAAAATTTTGATAGTAATACCGCAAAAAAACTGACACTCAAATAAATTAGTATTCAAACACCCAAAAAATAAATAGAAAGTGACAATTCAATAAGGGAATGACACGAACTTGAGGCTCAGAATCGCTTTGCAACCGAATCTCATTGAATCAGCTATGCTAATCCTCACAACTTTTTTGGATCCTCAAAACTTTTTTGGCGCCTCTGCCCAACTTTGAGCCCCTCTAGTTCACTTCACAAGCTTTAAATCGGATTTTTAGCTCACACGTCCGTTGTAAACCGACACGGAGAATCGATTGGTGGCAATTAGAAGTTTTCTGGATAACAGCTAAGGGTCTAAAACCTCTGACGCCCTAAATTTTCCCACATAGATGCAAATTTTTTCGAGTGAATTTAGAAAAACTTGATTGTAGCCATGATTTTGCTAAATTTTCTTCTTTGAGCGTTTCTGGACGAAGCTCTAGTTCACAAAAAAAACTGAAATCCTGGCTACAGGCCTGATAAGAGTACAAGTCTAGTACCTAGCTTCAGTCAAGTAGCCAATAAAATAGCAAGTTTTAGCAATTCCCTTGTCAGAACTCAAGTCGGTTTTGAAAACCTTTGTTTTAGGCCAAATTTAAAGAACGATCACAAACAATTTTCAGATGAAAAGCCATCGAAATGGGAACATTAGCGCAGTAGACAAAAAGACGAGGTTCCTCACTGTGGCAACTGTGGGGATCAGAATGCGAAGTGAAAGAAGAAAGACAAACCTTTTTTTGAGCAGTCAGATTTACATTTAATTTCTTGCTTTTAAAATATAGTTGTTCAGAAAATGTTAAACCTTTACGTCAAAGCAAACAATTTTTTTGTAGTTTTTGAGAATTCCCGAAAGTTTTTGCACTCTATTTCAAAAGTTGTACCCTGAGAACATCAAAAAACTCTCACGACCATAAGGTTCTAAAGCAAAAATTCGTGGAATTTATCTCATTTCCAAGTTTACCGGTACAATGCTTCGATTTGGGCAATGTGGAGAGCTATTGATTGTCTTGCTGTTGATGCTCATCTTGATCGGTATTTAACTGAATAGTAGAACAAAACAAACAAAATTTTCCCAAGATTACTAATGATAGTAGCTGCGCTTTAGCAAGCTTTGTAACACTTAAATCCATTCTATTTCCAACAAAATAACTTAGGAACCTACTCACTTGCCACTTTTCTCTTCTACACGAAATTATTTTGGACGATCGCACCCCCTAATCCGGCAATCAACCTCGTCCTTCGTCTCAGCGATGGGGTAGGATAAGGCCTAAGTCGGTCAAATGCTATGCTAGCACCTACACCATTCGACGCACAATTTTATACTGATTCCGAATATATATTCCGTTTTTGCTAAATGACAATCTGCCAGGAGTTATACGCGTCTAAAGTTTTGTTAGTGGTCTGAAAATGTGGTCAGTTGGATCTTAGCGGTCTCTTTTCAGCAAATGCTATGCGACCAAAGTAAGCGAATGCTATCCGGCCAAATGCTATGCGACCTATACCATTCGACCCAGAATTTTATGATCATTCCCCTAGGCGATTGATCAAAATTACCTTAAGGCTTTATATATGGAAAGCTATTTGCCAGATAAGATGCGATTGACACATAGAACACTAGTCAGCACTTTTTTATAAAAAAAGCAAGCGAAAAATTCAAACTTGCATCGAATTAGCAATGCCTCGCTCTGGAAACGAACCCTGCACACATTCGGCCACGGCTGCACACAAACTAGTCTGCAAGGAGGCCGCTAAGACCCAAATAACCACATTTTCAGAGTCCTAACAAAACTTTAGACCTGGCAGATTGTCATTTAGCAAAAACGGACTATACGTTCGGAATCAGTAAAAAATTCTGCGTCAAATGGTATAGGTCGCATAGCATTTGGCCGGCTCAATTAGTTCACCTTTCCTTGTGATTATTTCAATAGATGGGAAAGATCTTCAAATTTGTTTTAGAGGGTTTAAAATGCTGAAAGACACAAAAAGTAAAGAAATTATTCGCTAAAAATCTAAAAATCAAAAACAAAATCTATTCAGGTGCTTGTCCTGAGCATTTTCACCACCCCGTTGGCCATGTTATTCGCCGCAACAAACGACCGATTAACAATATCGATTCGGTTTGATTCTCCGTAAAGCCATAATATAAATATTTCAGAATATTGGCCACAGCCGAGAATGGCAACAAGTTTATTTACGCGATCATGCAAACATCATATCGTTTATGTGCCTTATCGATTTTGTCGTATGTAGGAAACGCTTTAAAACATTAGTGTTTTTAGATGTCCTAGTGATCTCACCACAAAACTTACTTCTGTTCAAAATTTTATAGACAACTATGCATTAATTGATGCATCACAGTATTGCCAGTTGCTTATTTCGTTGAGGTGAGATTGGAAAAGTGATTTTATGAAAGGTTCAACTACTTGTGGCACTTCTAAAGGACAGTAGAGAATTTGAAGATGAATGGTAATCAGACTTTGGAGTGAATTAAGGCTTAGACCAGTCCATATGCAAAATAGTAGACAAATGCATTTCCTAGCGATGCAACCGCTCAAATCTGTTAGCTAGCTTTGGCCATGCTTTGGCTTCTGATCCAGCATTTTCTTTTTAAAACAGAGTCATTAAACGATTCATTATTGAATCTATTAACCTTAAACTCTGTTATAAAATATTTTTTCTTTAGTCGTTTCTTTGCATTATCCTTGGACGGTGCTTATTTTCGATTCACTGTCAAATGGCCTCTAGTTCAACTATTGTTACCATGGGCCCTTTGTTTTGGAATCAAATCTCTTCAAAACATTGCATTATTCCGTAATATTAATATCATTCCATTGTTTCTAATGTGTTCTCTGGATTTTGTAACAAATTGGAAACTTAGAAGGGTAGGCGTTCTTCAGGATAACTAGGCATTGATTATTCAGAGAAGGAATCACGAGAAAATCGCACAAGCTGAGACTTTGCTAATGATACAGGTAAGGCTAAACTTGTTTTTTTGAGTGGACTATTTGACTAGCTTTTTTGAAAACTATCGTACTCCAGCTGTCCTAAAGCTATTCCCGGAGTACAGTTGCATCATCTGTAAGTTGATTAAACTTACAGATGATCTTGAACTCGTTCCTGATTCTGCTGAACACGATCATTTCCTATTTTACCCTCTACATTCTCAATTTACTTTTCGATGTTAATGCACAGATTTGGTTTGGAACTTTCAAAGAAGTCAGCAAGAAGATGCTATTCAATTTGGGGATGAGGTACGGTTAATCGAGTTCTAAAATGTAAACTTTGTTATTTTCAGCGTTATTTCGATCATCTTTCTGCGTAAACGATCTGAGAAATCTGGAAGAGAAATATCAGTCAGTGCAACGACTCAAACGAGATAAATAAACAAGATTTTTCTTGCCTGGCTTTATTTGGTCAAAACATATGTTTAATGCCCAATTTTGATATTCAAAATCTTGGCAATGAATACCAATTTTTGCTCCAAAGCTTGCGGATTGCAAATAACACACAACAACACAAAATGCAACTAATATTGTCAAAGTTGTTATTGTTTTTGTTTAACAATAATTGAATGAGTTAACAAGTCATTAAAGTTAGATTAAATGAATTAACAAGTCAGTAAAAGTTGTAAGTCAAAAACTCCAGTCGGTTAAGTCACAAATATTCCAGTCTTTGTTTTTTTTTCGTTGACAACTTCTAAATAGCTGAACTGGCTACAAAATGGTAGCGATTAGGCTAGGTGACCAGATCCGGGATCCGGGAAATCTGAGGATAAATCCCGGATCCGGGAAATCTGAGGGTAAATCCAGACCCGATCCGAAGAATCTGATGGATGAATTAATATTTACTTGAAGATCCGGGATCGACCGGATCCCGGATCTTCAAGTAAATATTAATTCATAACTTTGTCGTTTTAAAAAAGTTTTTTATTGCTAAAATTTGTTAGAAGAGGGATCCAAAGTAGAACCCTCTTTTAAAAAAATCATGAGAAAATCAAGAGACAAAACTCACAAATCAGATCAAATCAGATGAGATCAGATGCTCTCCCAGTTTGGCTACTGTTTAAGTGACACAATGATTTAACACGATATAGAATTTGGGGCAGAAATTGATCCCGAAAATTATGAATTATGAAGACCCATAGCTAGTGACGTCCAAAGCGTTGAAGCAAGCTCAGTCACCATCAATTTGATAACAATCTGATTCAATACTTATTCTTCAATCTACTCTGCTCCTTGCCCTTTACGGATTCCAAGAGGGAAGCTTTTATACCCGAGGCTTAAGCCAGACGGTGAGCTATTACGCGACCGCACAAAGAGCATTCGGCAGTCATTTACACAAGGGTTCTTCTTTTGCTTTGTAGATGGCTTCAAAAGAAGACTTTGAGCTGTAAATTGTTAAGTCAAGTCTGTCAACTAACTAGTAAGCAGATCTCAGTGTTGAACAAGAAACAAGGATTTAAAACAAGGTTTAATAAAACGCAAGGATTTAAAAGTTGCTATTATACTTATCGTAAACGATTTATACTTTTAAATGCCATTCACATTGTCATTTCCCACTTTTTCCTGACATCCGAAAATCTCTTCATTGGATTCCTAGTTGTGGTGCTTGAAGCCATCATCTTTAAAGCTTTAGTCCTTTTCTCCGGTCCGCTCGATGTGGGGGTATAGCTCAGTGGCAGTCGGCTGCAGTCCGAGAGGTCCATGGTTCAACTCCGTGTGCCCCCTAGTCCTTTTTAATTTCCTTGGGAAAATTAGGAGAATTTTAAACTTTAAGTGAATTCCAATTTTTTGCTTTCAGAAAAGTTTTAAAAGACAACTTTATCCTTAAAATTTTAATTTTGTTAATTTGATTGAAAAAGGGGATCGTTGATGGGAAAAAAGGAGATCGTTGATGCAATGAAGCTACCAGTTCTGCATCTTCCTGTCCTTCATATTCCTCATTCAGTTTTTGATGACAACCATTCAGTTTATCATTCGACTTTTGATGGGATTGAGATTTTTTGATCGGAATACCAGGAAGTCTGGAATTTAATCAAAGAACTATGGGCAAAATCAAGTTAATAGTTCTTTGATTAATTGTTTTACTTTGAATATAAAGTTTCAGTTTACATATCTTAAGATTTGCACTCGATTTTATATAGAAACATATAGTTTTTAAATGATCAGAAACACAACGAAGCATTGCGATTCAAATGGCAGCCTCTAGAGAAAAAGGTAAGGTAAAGCCATTGGCAAAAGCTAATTGCATTTGAAATCTCTATAATTGGTCTCCAAATTCTGGATTTATGTGGATTTTCATATAGAACTTTGGACTATGGAAGCTTTCCATTGCAAGCTATGGAAGCTGACTTTCCATTGGTACCAGTACCAATGGTATCCGGACTATTGTAACTCAACTCTGAGACTGCCGATCGGTCCGAAAAGCTCCGACATGCTGGAGAATAGCTAATTATAAAATTTGCCTAAGTTTTAGACCGGTCGGCACTCCGGAAGTTGAGTTACACCGGTGCCGGTACCTAATACTCACAGTAATCTCTGTGAAAAGCCGGTGTAGTCAACTTCGAGGCCGGATTTCTCCGTGATCGATTTACATTTTGGCCAAAACCCTAATGACCAAAAGATAAATAGATAAAGGATCAATTTTTCAACGACTTTTCAGATGAATTGTTTAATCGACTTTGAATAAATTGTTGCTATTTGAACGTTTTTTCATTAATTTGGTTAATTTGGTGCTTATTCAATGCTAATTTTCGAAATTTGCATACTTTGACTCATCTACAAAGACAAGAAATAAATGAATCAAGTATAAAGCTCAAATAGATGACAAAAATGATTTGAAAACAAGCAAACGTACAAAAGAAAGCTAGCGAAACGACTGGATTAGCAAAAATATTAAAACCAAATACCTACAGAGTACCAGAGTTGATTGTTGGTCTCAAAACACCCATCAGAAGGACCACAAATTGACTAGATCAAAAATAATATGGCTTATTCGTTTTAAGTAGAAAAGGCTGAACTGGCAAAGAAAATTTGGCAAGAAATACGGAATACGGAATACAGAATTAAAAATTGGTTTTCAAGCGATCACAATCATTCATTTCATTCGTTTAGCGGCACTCTCTCGACCGAGCTTGGTTCATCATCAATTGTTTGTTTGATGTATCTGGAAAAAAATCAACGAATCAAGAAGAACGAATTGAAATAAACAAATTAAATAGAAAAGTTAAAGTTTAATAAAGACAAATTGCTTAGTTTCATTGTGAAATGTTAAGCTATTTAACGAAAATTTAGAGCTTGAATATCTGTTTCTCAAAGGACTGTTGTGTTTCACTTTTCTGGACTAGGGAAAGGTCAGAGTCAGACCAGGAGCAAGGTTTTCACCTTGGTTTGGTCTTAATCTGTCTTCTTGGTCACAAAAAGAGTATCTAAGTTCTTTGTTTCTTGCTTGATCTGGCCTAGCTTACAAGGCCTAGCTTAATCTGGCCTAGCCCTAGAATACAATTGGAATTGAAGACTTGCCTAGCTTCTGTCCAGTTCTAGTGTAATATGGGCTACTAATAGTCAGAACAGTTTAAACATACCTCAAGCAATCACTTTTCAGAACAGATTTCAGTATTAAGCTGTATTTTATCATCTTTTCCGGCTTCTACTTGTACTAACAATTCTATAGAATGCAGCAGGATTATTGCAACCAATCTTTTTTTGATAGAACCCTATAAAAGAGAAATCAACTCAAAAACTTTAACAATTGATTTTTAAAAATAGATTAAACAAGAAAAACGACTTCCTTTAGCTCATTTGCTTCGTTTGCTTTGCTTCATTTTGACCAATAGAGATCTTTTTAGAACTCTATGAGCAGAAATTTGGTGACATTTGGGAAATGCATTCACTGTAACCAAATGGTAAGCGAAATCGAGTTTATCACATGCTTTTTGAAGAGATTTCTTAAGCGAATCGATGCTAGAATGAGGTTTTGAACACGTTTTTGCTTAAAGAACTTTCTAAGCATTAAAATCTATCGAATCGGGACTCGAGGGTGGCTACCAAAGGTGGTCAAATCGGGAAAATCCTGCGTAATTTCTGAGCCACTCGAGCCCTGTTAGCATAAGCATCATCCTGCATAAAACACCAAATTCTGTTGCCAAAGTGATTTTTGGCTTACGGAAGATCTTTCTTAAGTATGGTTGATTGTTGGAACTAACATTGATGCCCTGAGGCGGTTGTAAAAATCCTGTCGCATCCTGTAGATCCCTTACTCACCTGCAACTCTTCTCGCTTGACGTCGAGAAAAAGATGCGGTAACAGTTCACATTTGTCAAACAATCCGGTAAACAGCAGAGAAAAGCCGGAAGCACAAGTAACCCTGAAAGAAGATAACAAAAGTTCAAGACAGAGATTTTACCATGTAAAACTCCCCAACAAACAACCAAGAAAATCGTCGCCACGAATACTGATGGGGAATATGACTGGAATTATGATTGGATTATTAATAAACATTGCTTTATCATTAGAAAACAAAAATTAGGATTAAAACAAACTTGTAAAAATAAAAGTGGCAAGATGCAAACAACTGTCGACACACCCGCTTGAATCATTGGCCAGCCAACTGCCTGAATTTCAATTCAGTAGAAAAATATTCAGCTTTTTCGAGACATTTCCAGTTTTGTCTTGTCTTCTGGTCTTGTCTTGTCTTCTATTCGAAAATAACTGACCTGTAGCGTGTGCTCCAACTTCTCTTGTGCCCCATTTACCCGAACTTTCACGATTTTCCCATCAACGATCTCCTTTTGTTGATCAACTTAACAAGAAAATTTTAAAGCTAAAGCTGTCTTTTAAAACTTTTCTGAAAGCAAAAGGTTGGAATTCACTTAAAGTTTAAAATTCTCCTAATTTTTCCAAGAAAATCAAAAAGACTAGGGGGCACACGGAGTTGAACCATGGACCTCTCGGACTGCAGCCGAATGCTCTGCCACTGAGCTATACCCCCACATCGAGCGAAGCGGCGAAAAGGGGTGAAGCCTTCCCCAATCGCCTTTTAACTGTGGGGAGAGATAGAGACGGTCTTTTAGCGGAGACAAACAGTGAACGGTCAGTCATCGATCATTATTTGCTTTCGCCTTTTTAAGCCTCGAATAATGCTGGGGAAAAAAGCAAAAGGATGTTGTTCTCTTGCTTTTTAAACAGCTTTTCAATTTCGTTTTTTGAAATACACCGCCGCTTCAACTAATTATAGAACCACGTTTTTAAAGCTCAGCAGACATGAAGAGAAATCAATGAAATTTGAGAGAAATCAATGAAATTCAGCTTTGGCTCTATAATTAGTTGAAGCAATGTATACCTGATAATGATAAGAGACGTGAGCTGTGAAATCGACGCTCATTCCAATGCTCCTAAACATGAAACTTTCGTTTTGAGTCTTTTATGAGAAACTCACATCAAAACAGCGGCCATCACAACGGGATCGAGATCGAAATGCCACCAAGAGAGAAAACCCAGCACACCTGAAATTTGGTGTACATCCTTGCCACAGTACTTTACGTACCTACAATACCTACAGTACATCATGATTCTTTACTACAGTATTGTACTTGCAGTTGTTTTTTACTACAATACAATACCTACAGTACACAGTTGCTCTTCACTACAGTTACTATTAGGTGCAAAAGAAAAGAAAAGAAAAAAACAATAAAACGACTGTAAGTAAAAGTTGATTAGTATTTTAGAAACTAATCCGGGTTGATTAGTATCTTTAGAAACCTCAGAGCTATCTATTGTAAAGATTATTTGAATACATTTGAAGTAAATAATCAAAATTCTATAAAATTTGACTCATTTTGCCGTCTTCCTTTTTACCTAAACTGATCGAAGCAATGGCGATCGAGGCAGTGATCACAGAGCATGGATTTGGAATGAAAATCGCGCACACCACCGCCATGCACAACAACGTCAGCACACCTGTCTGAATTTGAAATAGAACTTATCAACGTTGAAATCGTCAGCTCAAAACGAACCTGTAAAGCCACCGACTTTAAACTCAGCATTTGATCGACGAACATCCCATTTGGCTCCCAAACAGTCGCATTTAGATCTTTGTATCTGAAATTGGAATGGTGTTGGGTTTTTGATTACCTAGATTATAAAATCTAGATTTAGTAATCTGGATTTAGATGACCAGAAATAACCGATCCTAATAGTCCGTTCTAGGCTCATATTTCTATTATTTGTAGACCAAAACGATTAATTTCTTTTTTTTAAATGAAAATTCACATCATTTTCTGTATGTGTTCAAGATTTCATGACTATAGCATTGATAGATAATTTTTATGTACACTCAAAAATGGCTGTTCACAAAAATAACGAGCCACAATTCATTTAGGGGTTCATTTATCGATGATCTTATAGAAAATATTAACGCATTTAATTCTTTTTTTTAATTAAATCTACTTAAACATAACAAAAACCTAGCTTTTAGAAAAAAACTGCAAAGAAAAAATTATTTTGGGAGGTTTTCTTTTGAAAAATCCCAAATTTGAATGTTTTTCTTCAAAAAAACTGCAAACTGCTTGTTATTTTTTTAGCCATTTTTGAGCGTACATAAAAATTATCTATCAATGCTATAGTCATGAAATCTTGAACGTATACAGAAACTGATGTGAATTTTCATTTACAAAAAGAAATGAATCGTTTTGATCTACAAATAATAGAAATATGAGCCTAGAACGGCCTATTAGGATGGGTTATTTCTGGTTACCCTGTAACTGGAATTTTAGATTATTTAGATTATAACTGGGATTTTAAGATTAACTAGATTATAACTGGGATTTTATATTACTTAGATTATAATTGGAATTTTAGTTTACTTGGTTAATAATTGCGATTTTAGACTAACTATTGGGTTGGGGAGAATGAAATAGCGCCGAACTTTAAAGCCACTTTTTGCACGCATAAACCCTTCTTTAAATACATGTTTTGTTTCATCAAAAGGCTTCACTATTTCTCTACAAAATGACTTTTGAGAGATTCTGCAAAGCTTTTCTTTCGTTGAGTTTATGGACTCCCAAACACAGCTAGTAAAAATGCCAAAAAGTTTGACTCATCTTTTGAACAGCTTCTTCCACATAAACCTCCTTTGCTGTCTATATAAAAAAGATAGAGCACACTTAATTACATAAGTTGCCAAATTTTCAGGAAGATCCCACCAACCATTTTCTCTAGATGACCGTTTATCGATTTTGAGAAAAAATAGCCTTTTGTTAAGCTGAGGCGCTGTTTGAGTTCTCTTTTAAATGCCATTTTGTAGGGAATTAGTTAATCTTTCTACTGTTATCAAACGCGTATCATTTGACAAAGTCTGCTAGAAGTTTTAGAAATTGTTATGATTTTCTGATTTGATTTTTGATTGCATTCTCTCCAACCCAATGTAGTCACAGTACTGTGACTGATCGAGTGTAAGGTTGCACTTTCATGCTTCTAAGCTCCCGATCGGTCTGAAACTCGGGGAAACATAATTTTTAGCTGTTTTATGGTAATTCGGAGAGTTTCAGACCGATCCGAGAAAATTATTTTGTCAAAATGTACTAACTCCATAAAAAGCCTTGGTCTTACACGTGTTTTTATGGAGTTGACACAAAATTTCCTCAGATCGGTCTGAAACTCTCAGAAATACCATAAAACAGTTAAAAATTTAGCTAAATGTAGCCCAACCTGTAGCTAAGTGCCCTCCAATCTTCCATCAATCCGATCCGAGTCTCCCAAGACGATGTATTGCAATAAGCGACCGTCATCCAGAAACAAGTCACCACCGGACCGTTGCTAGATTTCAAGAATGAATTGGAATTAAATATTACATATAACTTCAGTTCACTTCTTTGTAAACTCACCTTGTATTGGCGATTTTCATAAATTGTTCCCAGTGCTTGTAAAATGGTGACTTCAGAAATGTGTCCAACTTTGAGTAGGTGACATTCGCGACGAATGGATCGATCGGATCTTCTTTCCTAGAGGAAATTTAAAATAAAACTTTTCCCTTTTATTTTCTTAAACATCTAGTCAACTCACTTCTGAGCTTTTACTCCAAAAAGCAGTGACATAATATCATAAGGCTCTCCATAGTGATAATAGCGATAGTAGTCCCTTAGCCAGATCAATGATGAAGCTGGGCCTAGAAATTTTAAATGTTAGCTTTTGCAAATAACATAAAAGTTCAAATTTTTGATTTTCTGAACACCTTTTGAGTGATGCAAAGCTTCAAACTCGTTGACAAGTTTCCAGAAGCGATGCATTTGAGTTTGATTGTTTAAATCCAAAGGAGAGTTGATCAGAATCGTCACCGGATGGTATTCAGCCCAAACTGAAACTTGGTTAATTGATTTTTCGAAGTTCTGAGTCAAGAATTTCCCCACCAATATTGCTTAACAAGTGATTCGGCTTCTGAAGTGGTGAGTTCTTTGGCAGAATTTTTACCGCGTCAAGTCTCGTTTGAATGTTCATCAATCCGATAATGCCAAAGTACCTATCAAGTTAGATTTCAATCACTTTAGAATACAATCTTTTGATTTTGAAACTGTTTAAAGAAAACTAACCAATAGCACACTGTAGCACCAATGATCAAAATGTTGAAGAGCCGATTGTTGAGCAATTTGCAGTACAATTTGAGCACGTGCTCTGAGCATTTCTCAACCTAGATCAACTCTAATTTCGAGATTTTTCAATTATCTAACCTTTAGCCTCCATCCAGTATGTGATTTTCCCTTCGTCTCTCTGGGTTTTTCACAATGACTTGCTAACGCCAGAACCGGCCCGAATAACAACAACTGAATTGGAATTTTTGATAGATAAAGTGAGAAGTGAGAATTTCGCAAATGTGGTTTATGAAACTTTGATAACAATTTTACAAATATTGATTATTCTTAGGTAAATTTTTGCGTAGATTCTGAAAATCGTAGTTTCAGAGCGATTCCAGCACTCTATCATAAAGAAAAACAGCTTTGAAAATCAAAAATTTTGAGTATCCCTCTGAATATTTTGGGTATCTTGTGCGCGCTGAAATGCTTTAAAAAATTCTAAACCTTAAAAAATTTCTAAATATTAATATTACCATTATGTAGCCCTTGAAAAGAGCTTTCAGAAAATATATAACACTAATAGTTTAGACTCAAAGACAAGGGAATTACAGAAGCGCGAAAGTGACGATCGTTTTTCAACTATGATATTTCATTGTCCAGTACTGTAAATAGAGGTTTGTCCGATTTAGATTGAACAACATGTTCCCTAGAATTTTCTTGTTTTTTTAAGGGCTTTTATTCTCTTGTTTTTCAGTTAAATACTGCTTTTTTTACAGATGAACGACCTTTTCGACCAAGAATTCGGCGGGTTTTGGCAAAAGAAAAAATAGGACAAATTCCTACCACTGAAATCTACAATTTTATGGTTGAAACGCTCCAAAATCATCACGAAAACTCTGAGGAACCAAGAAACTGCCACGAAAAAACTTGATGAAAAGATTTGAGCTTTTTGTTAAATGTTGTAATTTTGCATCTATTTAGGTCTTTGAGAAATGCAGGAAACTGCAAGAAACGCTTTAGAAAACATGTTAAGCATGTTTATTATTGTTCAATCTATATTGGACACAACATCTACAAGAACACAACTTTAAAAACTTTAAACTAAATATAGATGGTTCACAAGCCAACTGGCAACGAATCCTTATTGTCTTGGACTATTCTAGGCATCTCAGAACCATGCAAGTTGTGAGCTATTGGCTTATTTGATTTGAGTTATGTCAACCAGATTACTACCTGAAAAATGTAGTCCAATCCAGTAGCCATAGCTGTCGCAAAGCAAAACATCCGAATTTCTAAACAAAATTATGTATTAGGCTGTCCAGAAAGTCTTTTCGTTCATTTTCGTCTTCCGTTTTAAAACTAACAAGTGCATCAATTAAACTACAATTTATTTCATTAGGTAGGATTATTTTTCAGCAAAATAACATTAAAACGGGTTTAAAATGTCTTATGCATGATTTTTTTTGGAAGCCTCAAGTCCAGTAGTCAAAAATGCGGCTCGATGATCCAGTTTAGACACTTTAGCTATGGAAACCTATCTTGGTGTCAATAGATAAAAGATAGAGCATAAAGAGTTTGGTATATAGCTAAATTTTCGGAAAATTCAGAAAGTCTTTTCGTTCCTTTTTCATCTTCCGTTTAAAACATACAAATGCACCAATTGAACGTTTGTTTGTTTCATTAAAAAGGCCAATTATTTTTCTGCAAAATAACATTAAAACGGGTTGAAAAGGTCTAATGTATGAATTTTTTTGGAAGCCTCAAGTCCAGTAGTCAAAAATGCGGCTCGATGGTGCAGTTTAGACACTTTAGCTAAAGAAACCTATCCTGGTGCCAATCGATAAAAGATAGAGCACAAAAAGTTTGGTATATAGCTAAATTTTCAGAAAAATTCATTTAGCCAATTTCTTCGTAGAGCTTTTTGTAGGTTTTTACAAAAAAACACGTGTTTTCACCCTCTCGAATCTGCTTGAGAGTGAACCAAAATTGACTTAAAAAATTGGAAATTAACCAATAAACACTTTTTATTTAAGGAAAATCATAGGTTAATTGGTGAATTTGTTATTTTTCAACGAAAAGAAACGAAAGGATTTTCTGAACAGCTTAATACATGTGTCTTTGGCCTATTTACATTTCTATCAATTTACATATCGGCTCCTTAGTTTGCATAAGATCCGCAAGTCATAAGAAGTCATAAAAACATTACTAACGTCCTTGTGACTCTAGCCGACGCAAATTTGCATTTTTACTGCCAGCTCTACGAGCTCTAGCTAGCTCTAAGATCTTTTCCAATTTCTATTTGCTTAAATTCACGATTTGCGGTTTGGAATTTTTCAAGACGCCAACATTTAGCCCATTATAAAGATTTTGCATTAAATTCCTGTTTATTATGCTAATGTTCCATGTTTAATTCACTGTTTTCCAGTTAAATGCAAATTTGCGATGCTTGTTCAGATAAAATTGCGTCGGCAAAATGTCGACGAAGCAAAATGTGTTCAAAATATTCTTGAGATTCGTTATTAGCAAAACCTGGTGTCGGCGTAAGAGCTCCAATACCGAAAGACAAGAAATTCGTTAATGAAGTGATTGTGATGCTTGGACCGACCTGAAATTTGTAGGTAAACTTGAATCCACAGCAGAGAATTCAGTGGTTACCTCTTCATAAACCATTCCCAATCGTTGCATCACCGTGTACCCGCATCTGGACATTCGTTGCCAAGAGTGGATCATCAAGAATGAATCATCAACTCCTGCAAAGGAGATAATCATTTTATTTGCCAACAAATGCTACCAATGCCCATGATCAAGAATGGCATGACAAGCATGAAAGAGTTGACATGAAAGCCGAGAAGAGAAACGATTCCATAAGTTGAGGTGATCGCAAGAATAGGGCATAACGTGGCTCCAATAGCACAAAGGCTAAAGAGAAATTTAAGTTCATAAAAGATGGAAGAGATTTTAGCCTTTAACAACTAAAATTTGCAATACTCACATCTTCCCAACATCCAATTCGTCGTAGTAAACAGCGCTGAAGAAGACGCAAATGCTCACAAAAGAGATCATAAAGCCGAAACCTAAAAGACAGCTAGAAATATTGATTAAGCTAGAAATTTAAGCTAGAAATATTGATTTTCTTTCTAGTAAACATTCTAGGTTTTGTTTCTAGTTTATTGGCAATCATTTTTCTTACCAGCGGCAAAGAAAGGCGTCATTCTACGGCCATCACGAATCATCTCGTTGTCGAGAATTTCTGTGCCCACCACCTAAAGCATTACATGTTGATAGTTGCTTTTTGAGTAAATAAATACACTTCTTGGATATATCAGACATTGAATTACAACTTGAACCTAATTCCACCTTTGTTTTCCCGCTGTTTCTTAACCAATTCTTGACCAACAACTGGAATTCATGTCTACAGAGAAATCAGCTTGTAGACTGCTTGAACTTGAAGCTCGAACAATTGGTCAAGAAACAATCAAGAAAACGAGAATGGAATTAAGTTTAAGTTAAGCTTTCAAGATCTATTTAGCATTACCTGTACTTCAACTAAAGACGAGTTGTCACTCAACGCAAAGTCGTATGCTGCAACCTCCCATTTGGCGAGAAGTTCTTCTTGAACTCGCGTGCTTTTATCACCTCGCATCAACATCAAGATCACCTAAAATTCGTTAACCGCTAAATTCAATTCAATATTTACCTGTACATGATCCATATTCGTGATCACAGTCTCTATTCCTTTACCCGCTACTTTGCCTCCAGATTGTGGCCTCGACTTGACGCCGAAAAAGCTGCGCTCTAGGTGAACCTAAAATAATCAAAAAAAAATGATATCCATAAAATATATCACAAAATATCACAATATATCCAATTATATCACAAAAATTATATGATTGTGAAAGGTTATGGGGTCTATTAAGCTATCCAAAAAGTCTTTTCGCTTCTTTTCATATTTCTATTGAATAATAACAAATTCACCGACTAACCTATCGTTTGCTCTATATAAAAAGTGTTTAAGTGTCTAAATAAAGTGCTTATTGGTCGATTCCCAATCTTTTTAAGTCAATTTCGGTTCACTTTCAAGCAAATTCGAGAGTGAAAACACGTGTTTTTCTCTAAAAATCTCTACGAAATTGGCTTAATTAATTTCTCTGAGAATCTGAAAAAGACCAAACTTTTTTGTGCTCTATCTTTTATCTATTGACACGAAGATAGGTTTCCTTAGCTAAAGTGTGTCACCTAGTCATCGAGCGCATCATCGAGCCGCATTTTTGACTACTGGACTTGAGGCTTCCAAAAAAATTCATACGTAAAAACCTATAAAAACCTCTACAAAGAAATTGGCTGAATGAATTTTTCTGAAAATTTAGCTATATGCCAAACTTTTTGTGCTCTATCTTTTATCTATTGACATCAGGATAGGTTTCTTTAGCTAAAGTGTCTAAACTGCATCATCGAGCCGCGTTTTTGACTACGGGACTTGAGGCTTCCAAAAAAATCCATACATTAGACATTTTAAACCCCGTTTTAATGTTATTTTGCTGAAAAATAATTGGCCTTTTTAATGAAACAAACAAACGTTCAATTGGTGCATTTGTATGTTTTAAACGGAAGACGAAAATAAACGAAAAGACTTTCTGAACAGCCTAATATCTAATTTTGTTTAGAAATTCGGATGTTTTGCTTTGCGATAGCTATGGCTACTGGATTGGACTACATCTTTCAGGTAGTACAATCTGGTTAGCATATCTCAAATCCAATAATTCAATAGCTTGCATAGTTTTGAGATGCCTTCAATAGTCCAAGACAATAAGGATTCTTTGCCAGTTGGCTTGTGAACCATTCAGATTTGGTTTAAAGTACAAAAAGACTTTCTGGAAAAGCTCAATACCTCATATCCATTAATATCCGCAACGGGAAAGAGGAGATCGGTCGTTTGCGAGGCATTTTGTCCATCTGTCACTCGACTGTATTGCTTATCAAAAGCTTCCTAAAGCATTTACTTTGCTAATCAAATTCAAATCAGATTCAAATCAGATTTGCAACTCCAAAAATTTGTTTTAACAAACCTTAAACATTTCAAAAACTTTGTTGATATTGCAGTAAGGCTCGCACATTTCAAAGAAACGCCATCGTTTGCCTGCGTGAGTCACCGAGAAGTTGTTGTTCAAGTAGTTATAAAGTCGTTCTAAACACATTTATCAATCAAAAACTCAACTTTATTTCTTAAAAATCTCAATCTTACATTTTCATAACTTTTAAACTCACCAGTCTCATCAAGGTGTTCTTTTCGGTGCATTGAGCCTCCATCTTTGGCGATGAACAAGAGAATTGCCATCATTGGATCGCCTGGAAAAGATTTCAAACTTATATATAACTAGTCAATCTAGTAACAGTCAATTTATAAATTTCAATTACCGGATGAGTTCCAAAATTCGCGTATCGCATCCGTTTCATATCTCGACGGAGCGTTAATCGGCGTGTACCCGTCACGAATTCGGTCCTTTAGCACCATTCTAAAATATTTCAATTGTGACTGATTAGTTTACTAGCTTGCATGTGATCAATTGCAATAGTTAAAAATTGAAATCCCTTACTTGTACATTCCACAACTGTTCAGACTGAGGATAGTGGCTACAGTAATGTAAGCCCAAGGATACGCGCCAACTGTTCGACCCATTAACTAAAATTTCGGCTTGAAATTTGAGATTTCTTTATGAAAAGCTTAACTTAAAAGTTGCTTACAATAGTTGTTAGTATAAGAATTGCTCCTGAAAGAGTAATAAAGAAAATTGTTCACCTGGAACAATCCCCGTAGCGTCATGTAGCCGCAAAGTGAGGCAAACTTTGTTTCTCTTGAGCCAGTTCCTGGAAATTTAAATTGATTATCCGATCTAGTTGCAAATCATTTTGATCAAAAATTGATTGATTATTTGATCTAATTGTTAGTTATTTTGTCTTTTATCATTTTCAATACTTGTTCTCGCCACCACCAAGACTGGAACAGCACCAGGACCAGACAACATCAAGATAGAGCTACTCAAGGCTGGAGGAGAAGACATACACAAGCTGCTGGCCGAATGCTTCACCACCTACCTTCACAACCAGAGGATGCCTGACAACGCAAGGACAGTCCCGCTCTACAAGAAAGGAGACAAAGAAGACATCGGAAACTATAGGCCAATAACTCTGCTATCGGTCCTGTACAAGCTCTACACAAAGATTCTCCAACAACGAATAGAGCGGCAACTCGACGACTACCAGCCAGTGGAGCAGGCCGGCTTCCGCAAGAACTTCTCGGTGATCGACCACAAGCACGTCACCAAACTGATCGAAAAAACACGAGAATTCCGAATATCACTCATCCTGGTGTTCGTCGACTACAAGAAGGCATTCGACTCCGTGGAACATGGCGCAGTGACACAAGCCCTCCTCGACGCAGGGATTGACCTCGGATATATCCAAGCCATACAAGACTGCTAACCACCACCAGCACAAGCAAGTCGAAGACTTCGAACCAGAAACAATCAAGATAGGAAACACTGGATGACAATAGCAAGGGATAGAGAAATATGGAAGCAGGTTGTGATCTGCGCAAATAGGAACACCTAAGTGCGAAGACAAATCAAAAAAAACTTGCTTTTGCTTCGCTCTTGTTTCGGAGGAATGATCTCCTCGACGACTTCGAGTTGGAGTCTCGGAATGCTGTCCGGGCGTTTCTCGCATGATTCTAAAAAACTTCATCTTATCTGAATTCTGAACTTTTTCTGGAAATTAGCTGTTGACTGGTTTTTTCGTGAACTCCAAATGTGTCCTTATACGAATACACAGCACCACTTGAGGCTGAGTTGCTTCGCGTAACTGTAACGCGTAAAAAATTCATTCTACTGTAAGAAAGGTCAGAAACCAGGGCCTGGGTCCACCAAACTATTTACAATTTATCTTCTAGCAGTTTTGCTAAACCGATTTAGCAGTTTAGCATTTACCATTTAGCAACTTTGCTAAATGCTAAATGTCCATTAAATTATTTACCATTTAACTTTTAGCAATTTATAGCTTATCGCTCTGCTAAATGCTAAATGCTAAGTGTTAAATACCAAAATTTTTGGTAAACTTAGGAAAATTGAGTTTTATTTCTTGTAGACTGAATTCTGATGTCGCCACATAAAGCTAACATAAGTTCATGTGCTCAAAATTGGCTAAATTTGACTTGTTTCTAGCCAGAGTATGTCAGAATTTGAATCTGTCATTAGTTTTTTGATATCTTTGTTCAGAGCAGAGCTATAAGTGTTTTTTGAAGCTTTCTCGGAGGTGTTTAGCAAAAAATGCTAAATTCAGCAAAATTTTGCTAAATCCAAACTTGCAAAATGCGTTGGTGGGCCGTTGAATTTTGCAAAATGGAAGTTTGCTAAATTTAGCAGTTGGTGGACCAAAGTCTAGGTCCTGGCTTGGCTTGGCTTGGCTTGACCTGGGTCTTTTCTCGGCTTGAGCCAAGAAAATGGAACTTGGCAAGAAAATGGAACTTGGCAAGAAAATGGAACTTGCCAAGAAAATGGAACTTGGCTTGACCCTGGTCTTCTCTCGGCTTGAGCCAAGAAAATGGAACCTGGCTCTGGCCTGGGTTGGGAATGAAACAATCCTGCTCTTTGACATCTGGAGTCAAATCATTTAGATCATCTACCAATTGACAACTTAAATTAGGCATATAAGGGTTTGAAGTTTTTTCTTTTTTCAAAGTTTCAAATCAAAACCCAAAACCAACCTTCCAACGGTCGATATGGGTTCTCTTCTCCGTGATCGATCTCCGCACTTTCCCCCAAACTCGGTTCAATGAGTGGAATCTCTTTTCTCGGCCGCATCCTTGGCTTTTCTCCATTTTCGGGCACTAATTCGTCATTTTCCTCTTTTCCCATTTCTATGGCGTCATCCCAATTACATCGCTTGCTTCAAAACAATCTAAATTCGGCATTTTGTACTAGGCTTTCTTCAAAAATTCACAAAAATTCAAAAAGAAGAACAAAAGTTTCATAAAATTGAATAGTATTAAAGTGAAAGAATGTTAAAATTGAAAGAAATTTTTTTTGCAAAGTTTTCCAAAAGAATTCTGACAGTTTGATGAACTGCATAAAAAACAAGAATGATAAGAAGACTTGGAAATTTTAGTTAGACTTGTCATAAAAGATTCCAAATCGAACGGAGCTCAGAAAAGCTTTTTATGAGAGAGAAAAGAGACTGAGACATTGGGCAAATATTTGCCATTTGCCTATATGTCACAATAGCTTCTAGTGCTTCTAGTGCTGGGTTTTTACTTCAAGGGAAGTTCAGTTGTTTGAAGGAATGCAATGAAAAATTAGAAGTTTACTAACAAACGGGGTATTTGTTATAGTACAAGTTAACGAATGCAAGTAAACAACCATATCACTTTCAAAATTGATTAGATTATAGCCGACCCAGTTAGTCTCTTAATGAAATTTTAGTTGTTAAAGTGGATTCAGCAACTAAATGGGGTGTGAAAGTTAATAAGATTTCTAGATAATAGCGGAGAAACTTAGTGAAAAAGCTGTAATCCACCGGAAATTGGTTGACTACTTGAGATGAAATCTTTTTCTGCTAAAGCAATAATCAAACTAAATTTCTGGATAGAAGAAAAGATGAAAAATAATGATTCACAAATCAAGCCAAAGAATTCGAGGACAATTGTTTCCATTTTGAGAAATGATAAAGTATTAAGTTGGCAAGAAAATTCGTAGAAAAAGTTTGCACGGCGATTTCTCAAAGACTAAGATTATAAAGCGTATTTGCTTATTTATGTTGAGTTTATCCCATAAGAAATCGTTTTTATGGTGCAAAAAGTGAGCTGAAAAGCTGAAAAGCTGGAAAATAATAATTTTTTCAAATATCTCTAAAATTTTCGGGGAAAGCTGCATTCATTTTTTACGAGTAATTTCTTTGAGTCGACTTGTAAATAATAGAACAAAGTGTTCTTGAATTGGTGGATTTGTTTTCAAGAAATTCCGGTTCAAATTTGTGCCAAGACTTTCTTGCCAACTAAATAAGTAGTGAAAAAGCTGTAATCCACCGGAAATTGGTTGACTACTTGAGAGAAAATCTTTTTCTCCTAAAGCAATAATCAAACTAAATTTCTGGATAGAAGAAAACATGAAAAATAATGATTCACAAATCAAGCCAATGAATTCGAGGAGATTTGTTTTCGTTTTGAGAAATGCTAAAGAATAACTGACATGATTTGTCTCAACAATTGCAAAAACATTGAGAAATCTTTATAAAGAAATTGAAGTATTTGGAAAAGAGAGACAATTGAGAACTTGCTTCATTCAAATTCCGATAGTAGTTTGATTCATTTAGGTTTTTTTATTGTAAAGTCAGTCAGTCCATTCAGGTTTTTTTTGTAAAGTTATCCATTGTGAAAAGTTCAAATTGAATTTGTTTCTTGTCTTGTCTTGATAGTCTTGAATCTTGTCTTGAATCTTGACTTGAAAGTCTTGAAAAAAGATAGTCTTGAATCTTGTCAATACTTTAAAATCTACATATCGCAAAAATATCAAATTTAGACTTGAATCTTTTGAGCTCAATTTGACTCTCGAAGTCGAGCTAAAGTCAATCGCATTGTGTTGGCCCTTTCCGCTTTTTCCCACTCCGATTTCCGAGACCGTATCCTGGCAACGAATGTTCCAACTACAATCTTTCTCATTTTTTCTCGTCAGAGTATAACCAATCATTTAGAAAAAATTTCTGAATGAATTGATTCGAGAAAGCTGTAATTAGAAGTGAGAAAGGGGTGATTAAATGATTAAAGACGGGAATTTTCGTGACTTTTCTCAAAAAGCTCAGACTTTACAGCAAAAAAAACTGGTACGCAGAAGAAATTGGCGAGATTTAAAAAAATTTAAAAAACCTGCGACAAGACCTTGAGTTTGGATACTTGCAATAACCAAATGTACCTACCGTAAATACTGTAATAGTATCCCACCCCCATAATGACGGTAGGAATGTTGCGCAGTCTAGCTTTGGACGAGTTTTTCTCGACACTGGTTTAAGCTAAAATGCGCGCTTCGGTATCAAATGAAAGCTGAAATTCAGGGCTATTTTTTGATACCAAAGACGCATTTTTTGAAAGTATGGGTGCTTTGCAAAAAATGAGATACTAAAAAACTTTTGCGACTACGCGACTGTACGAGAGGGGTGGGGTACTATTACAGTATTTACGGTAAATGGGAAAATGAAAGCGTGAAAGTTTACCTGTTTTAAACTAAAGCTCAATGTAAGAAATATATTTATAGTTTGATCTTTATAATTTCTTGTGAGACCGTGTAAGCTTTAACGAACTTTCCTCAAATATTTAGAGGCCAATATTTAGAGCTCTAGTCATTTGGGCTTTGGCACGAGTTATCAACTTCTGTGCCATTTCGAACTTTCCCTTGCGTAATTTTCCGGCCTGCGTGTAAAAAATATATTTGTAGTTTGATCTTTATAATTTCTTGTGAGACCGTGTCTTGGTGCGGTTTAATGGTAGATGTCTTGAAAACGCACAATTGATCAAAACTTTCCCTTATTAGAGCAAACTTCGCTCAAACTGGAGCAACCTGGCACTATCACAATTACTTCAACAATTGCGTGTGAAAAAAGGATGGAAAGAAAAAGGAACCCACAACTGACTCAAGAGAAGCTTAAATAATGGGTTTTTAGGGGGTGGGACAAATGCGACCTTTTTTTGCGCACCTGGACATTTGCGCACCTTTTTTTGCTGGAAAAGGCCTTAGGAAAGGTCGTAGAGCTTCGAAAATGTTTTCACAACAGGGAATCGTATGCGTAGATTCCGAATTTCGACAAATCAGACCTCGCTGACACGTCAAATTTGGGCTAAAAGGCAAAAACTGCGGAAAAGCGTTAAGTTGCGTAGTTTTTGCCTTTTAGCCCAAATTTGACGTGTCAGCGAGGTCTGATTTGTCGAAATTCGGAATCTACGCATACGATTCCCTTATATGGAAATATTTTCGAAGCTCTACGACCTTTCCTAAGGCCTTTTCCAGCAAAAAAAAAGGTGCGCAAATGTCCAGGTGCGCAAAAAAAAGGTCGCATTTGTCCCACCCCCGGTTTTTAAGTACACAAGCTACGACAAACGGACAACTGAATATCGTCTAGTAGCTGATTACGGTAGTTTGTTCATCAACCTTGAATTTTAACTTGTGCATTGAATTTTGACTAACTGCAGAGCAGTGGCAATTCGCCACACTCAACTTCACTTCAGCTCTTCTCCAAAGCCATTTAGCGAACTTATTGTTGGTTTAAAATAACAAAAATAAAATGTACTTTTTATTTCTTCGAGTTAAAGCAGTAAAATCGCCCCTTTTCCCTTGAGTCACTCAAAATTTCCGCTCTCATTGGCCCCCTCAAATTAATCACCATTGGCCTCAAACCCGAAAAATCAACTTTTTAAAATATTACTATAAAATTACTTGCTTTCTAAATTTATGAATGAACCTGTTAGTTGAAAATTCTAGGCAAGATTATAAAAAGCAAAGCAAATAAAGTTTCAAAAGGAAAAGTGGAGTGGATGATGACAAAATGTTGACTTTTCCGTTTAGGGAAAGCTGAAGCGAACAAGGAAATATCATAAAAAGAGTGAAAGAAGATAAAATCCAAAAAGCTTTATAAAGTTGAAGTTTTAGAATAAAAATCTTAAACGAAAATTTGCAAAGTCCAACAAAACGAATTTTCATAAGAAAATCTTGCGCAAAATCTGTAGATCTAAAAAGGAAGCGGGGAAGATTCGCTTAAGTGTTGATGGTTGAGTTGAGGAGGGGAAATGGAGGGTTGATCTTGGAAAAGAAAGGAGTAAAATGAAGAAGATGAAGAAGAAGCAGAAGAAGAAGAAGGAGGAGCAGAAGAAGAAGATGAAGCAGAAGAAGAAGAAGAAGCAGTAGAAGAAGCAAAAGAAGCAGAAGAAGAAGAAGAAGCAGAAGAAGAAGAAGAAGGAGCAAAAGAAGACCGAGAGTGAGAATAGATTGGGGTGAGCTTGAGAAAAGGAAGAGGTTGGGAAAGGGCCTGGGCAGATTGGGGGGGGGGCTTGGGTGGAGGAGGCAACAGAGGATTCCCTCCCCTTCCCCTTCCCTTCCCCTCTTCTTCCCCTCTTCTTCCCCTCCCCTTCCCCTCCCCTCCGTGAACATCATCTCCACATCTCCCCCGCTTTTCTCATCATCACACATCCTCCCCCATTCCTCTTCCCATTCTCCTGCAAAATTAAACAGAGACATTTTAGGAATTCTGCATTGGAGAACTTTCTGGGAATTGAATCCTCATTTTGTCATTAAGAATTAAGTGGATTAACTAAAGCTAAAGCTAGATAATAGATTAATCAAATCTAGGTAAATCTGTCTTTTTAACTTGAACTTTTTAACTTAAGCTTTTGTTAAATTACGAATGACTTTGGTTCAGCTAAACGTGATCTAACACTGCTGTATGTTTCAAAATAAAAATCAACGAAAACATGGCACATTAGATTCAAAATTTGAAACAAAAAGCAGCTCCTATGTAGAAACAAAATTTTCATTTGATTAACAATTGTTCATTTGACATTGTCTCAAAATCTACAACTCAAAGTTCAAGTCCAAGTATTCAAGCTTCTTGAGCATAAAAAGTTTCAACTCTAAACTCATCTAAAACTCTCCTCTCCCCATTTTGACCACTTAAATATTCTCGTTCCCTCTTTAAGAGCAATACACGTTCTAAAGTTTATGTTTTCTTAAAAGAGCCCTTGAAAGAGTCCCTGTCTGGAAACCACTTTAGCTTAAAGAAGACGGAAATTTTTTTTATAAGTCCATGGTTCAAAACTTTGCCCCTTTCGAAATCCGAATCGGAAAAGCACTCAATTTTTCAGTTTCTCCCTGGTTTTTGAAATTTTTCATGCGCCGTTGAACAGGGAACTTTCTAGGAATTCTCACTTTTTGTGCTACTTGGTTATGACTAAAGTATTGCGGTGGATTTGAAAGGATTTCGGAGTTAGCTTAAAGCTAAAGTATCACTGGTTTTTTACCGGATGTAGAATTAATAGCAAAATGTAGATAAATTTAAGGCAAAACTTGATTTAAATTGATCCATTTTGCACCCTTTTACATAGGAATTTTCTTTTGCATTGTAGATGGTACAGAAAGAAGGTATTGAGCTGAAAATTGGTACCCGAGGGCTTTCGGGAGCGGCGAATCGACTGAGAATCTTCATTTTACTACAGCCATCTAGCTTGTCTTCCCATTTAAAGTAACTGAACTACTGCCGAAAAGTTAGTTCCAGTGAGAATCGGTTTAATTTGGTTCTTCTTTAACTTGAAAACCTTCTCCAAATAGATTTAGCTCAAGTATTTTGAAAGCCTTTAAATAATAGCATAAAAAAGCATAAAAATAAAAAACAGCAAATTGCGAAATTGATAAAGGATTGGAAACTAAAGCATTGCATTTGAACAAAACTTTGCATTTGAACAAAATCCCTGTTAAAATGTTAAATTTTCAAATCAAATGTCCAAATGTCAATCTAATCTCATCTTCTAATAATCTATTTTAAAATAAAAGAGTTGAATGACAGCCGGAACTTTTCTTCTTCCGGAGAGATAAAGGGCCCAAAGGTCTTTTTTTGTGTGTGAGGCTTTCGGGGGGTAGTTTTTCCCCTCCAAAGAGCAATGGGGCCAATTTGGGGGAGAGACTGAGGAGAGTGAAGGGAAAGGGAAAGGGAAACTGACGGGGAGAAAAGCCGCGACTTTTCCCCCATCTTGCATCCAGATATATTGAACCAGAGAAGGGCCCCTGAGGGGACAAAAAGAATGACGACTTATCGAGAAGTAATGGGATTAATAGAAAAAAGGGTTTAGAACATCTAGAACACGTAAACATCTAAAGATTTGAATAGAGTAATGATTTCAAGGAGAAATGTAACAAAATAGATTTAAAAGTTAAATCAAGCAATGGATAATACTAAACTAAAAACTTACAAAGTCTGGAACTTACAAACTTACAAAGTCTACAATCCAGATTATCTAGATTCAAAAATCTTGGAGATAATGATGAACATTATGGATTTAAGCTTGAAAGTTGGCTTTTCGAAAGGCTTTTGAAAGCTTACAGTTGAATCTAACCAGAGATAAACAATTAGCTTAATCTTTAAAAACTTAAAGTTCCATTGTTAGCACATTGCTCATTACAATGCTAATCCTTAAGCTGGATCTGAACTTGAAATTTTGGCCAATAAAAAATTAGCGATGTAGTTAAAACAGAAAAGAAAACGTTCAAGATAGCGCCGTCAAATTTCTCACAATCCAAAAAACAAAGCCCGTTCAAGTTTTATATCAAAAAATTCCTTGCGTTCTTGGCTACATGATGGGTGAAACAGTTTTTAAAAAAGATGATATTTCATGGATAAAATTAGCCTTCAAGTAGGCCTCTAAAGATATTCAGTTAACCAATTGAGTGTCACTCGACACAGATTTTGAACGCTAATTTTATCCATGAAATATTAACTTTTTTAAAAAACTGTTTCACCCATCATGTTTCACCCATCATGTTTCACCCATCATTGTTAGCACGTTGCTCATTAAAATGCTAATCCTTAAGCTGGATCTGAACTTGAAATTTTGGCCAATAAAAAATTAGCGATGTAGTTAAAACAGAAAAGAAAATGTTCAAGATAGCGCCGTCAAATTTCTCACAATCAAAAGTTTATATCAAAATTTTGTTGGGCTACATGATGGGTAAAATAGTTTTTAAAAAAAGTTAATATTTCATGGATAACATTAGCGGTCAAAATCTGTGTCGAGCGATACTCAATTGGTTAACTGGATATCTTTAGAGAGCTATTTTGAACGCTAATTTTATCTATGAAATATTAACTTTTAAAAAAAACTGTTCTACCCATCATGTAGCCAAGAACCCATGGAATTTTTTGATATAAAACTTGAACGGGCTTGGTTTTTTGGAAATTTGACGGCGCTGTTTTGAACGTTTTCTATTCTGGCGCTGTTTTAATTACATCCCAAAAATTAAGCTTGATTTTAAAATACTTGAATTGAAGCTTGAACTCACTAACAATATTTCAATTCTTAATTTACTAATAGTAAGGCAAAAATTAATCTTTTAAAGCAATGAAAAGTGCTATCGAAATCGTAGAGTTTTTCTAGTTCTAGGGCAAATTTCTTCAAAATAATTTTATGACTGACAATAAAATAAATCAAACCACTTTTTGTACAAAAAAAAGAAAAAGAAATCTATCAAGAATCAAATCAGATCGATGTGGCGCCTTTTTGACGAAGTTTTTCATGTAAATTGCAACAAAATTTGGGGAAAAAAGTTGATCAATTTGAAATGAGGAAATTCTTTTGAATGCAGATGAAGAAGCAAAGCTCAATTTTCATTAAAATGCAATTCTTTTAACAGAAAACAATAGAATTTAGCTTGGTAATTGATCAAAATGCAAATTGAATTAGGTCCCGTAAAATTGAATGTCAGAATTTTATGGCTAATTGATATTTCTGAGAGCATAGGTAACATAAGATTTCAAAAATGCATTTGTTTCTCTGTTTTAACTCAGTTTTCCAGATTTTTTAACATTTAAATAGTTTCTATGTACTGTAAAGTCCCATTACTGTAACCGAAATCAAAAGCTACCTCAAAAGCTAGCTAGCAAAAGCTACAAAAGCTCAAAAGATTTGCAACATGCAAATCTCTCCGTTTCTATGCAAATTTCACTCAAGTAAAGAACTTTTAAGTCGTTTTTGCGATACTGTAAGGATATTGGAACTTTACAGGACATTCAGCTTCAGTTTAAAATCGAAAAGCTTTCCAAAACCTTAAGTTGCAAAGAGGCCCTAAAAATAGATTCATTCAAAAGTTCCCTCGAAACTTTTCGGGGAAATTCGTCGTGAAATCGAATCGGACCTATGGGGCATTCGAGATGATGTCTCTCCAGCTCTCTCTCCTCCTTTCCCCCCTTCTAATCCTCAATCTCTTTGTCTTTTCTTCTTTTCACTCAATGACAGCTGGTCATTCCCGGGGTGAACAGATTGTTTTCACTCTCAACAACCAGACATAACATACAAGTAGGAAACAGAAATGAGATGAGCTTGTTTCAAAGCAGAAGTTCGTTTAGATTTGTTTATCTGATAAAATGGCTGAAAAAATTCTGAGAGTTGACAAAATTTCAAGCAATACCTGCGTGGAAATTGGTGAAGAAATTAATGTCTTGATTCAAACGTGAATTTTTGAGTTAACCGTTTATTCAAAGTCCAGCTTAGCATTTATTCAAGGTCCAGCTTCAAGTCCGTTTTACAGAAAAGCAAATCTTATTGTTTTTCGGGATTATTCTCATATCGATTGATGAATATATTGACTCCTCGGTATTGCAAAAGTGTCGAGAAACAATTGGGATTTGTTGAATGAAAAGAAAAATGATGAGTTGGTTGAGTTGATCAGAAGGAACAAGACATATCGATTGCTGAATGGTATTTGGCTAGCAAGGATGTTTCAAACAAGCATCACATCTACAGAATAGATGAAATAACAAGCACTACATCTACAGAACTTACTATTAGACAATACCCATAATGGTACTGGGTTTAATTACCCAATTACCCAACATTTTGTTATATGCTGAAACTGCAAGATTGCCTGAACGCCTGAGCTATGCCTGAACTTCCAGGAAAAAGTTTTGAATCAGATAACAATCTAGACAATCTTTTGAGCGACAATGATAGCATTCACAAGCACAGACCAAGTAACTCCCGATTAAGTTTGTTATTCTCTTTTTCCAGCTCTCTAAATCTTGAAGTTCAATACTATAAAAAACAGCTAAGAACTAAAGAACAACTAAAGCTAAGAAATTCCTTCAAAACACGATGTTTTGGTCGTTAGGGACGATCACCTGGGGCCACCATCCACAACAAAAGAACATTCGAATTGACTATTTTGTACGAATTTACAAGAATTTCGTTATTCAGGCTGAACCTAGCTTAATCACAAACTTATTGATTCACTGCTCATTTATCCAAGACTTCTCAATTAAATAGTTTTATGATACTTAGAATATTCTCATTCTTATTAACTTTTCATTGACTAAAAAGTACTTTGGGACATGTAAACAACATGAGATACAAGGATTTTCTCTACAAATTCATCAGTGTACTTTATTGGATTAAATTTTTGGGTAACAAAGGAAAGGAAACTCTTTCAAGAAAAAGGATCTAGATTCGTGTAATGATGGAGAGTTCCAATGTGAGCAACCACTAGAGAAATGCATTCCGACCATTTGGATGTGTGATGGGAGGAATGATTGTCCGGATGGGAGTGACGAACATGCACACGTTTGTCACCAACACTCTGGTTGGTGATCTTATGGGAAAAATGGATAAGTTAAATCTCTTATGCGTATAAACTCTACACAAAAGCCGCCATATCATTAAAGTGTGCTCCTTCGCGGCTGAAGTTTATGCTATGCTGAAGAAGCTATCAGTTTGGTGGGATGTCAAAGGAGTCATTTACTGGGAACTTCAATAATAAGCAGACTATTAATGCTTGAAAATAAGCAGACTGTTAATGCTTTATTAAACAGCAATCAGCTACAAAAGCTCAAAGAGGAAATCAAGAACCAATCTGAATTGAAAGAGGGCATCCTTCTTCACGACTAGAGTGTGCTCCTTCCGAGTAAATAATTACTCGAGTAAAATTTCCATGAGTAATTTTTACTCGATTTTTACGTGTCACCATAGATGTTATACTCTAAAATTATACTCTAAAGTAGAATGCTGGAGTTTGATTAATCTTTCGATTTTACAGTTACCTATTGCATTTAACTATTTCTTTAGCAGCTGGTTCCGGTTGTTTTGGAGATCAGCCGGAATGTATCTATTTGGGAGTGACTCGATGCATTATGCATGAATGGCTTTGTGATGGGAGGACAGGTGAGGGGAAAGTCTTCAGGAAAGCTCTATAGAATACAAAAGTAAATCGCAAAGTTTAGCCTAGGCCTAAGCCTGAGCCTGAGCTGAGCCTGAGCCTGAGCTAAGCCAAAGCGGCTGAGCCTGAGCCTGAGCTGAGCCTGAGCCTGAGCTAAGCCTAAGCCTAAGCCTGAGCCTAAGCCTAACAAACCCAAATAGACTTAGTGCTAGGCGCTAGCCGCTAGCCTTCGCACTAAGTCCAAGCCTGAGCCTGAGCTGAGCCTGAGCCTGAGCTAAGTCTAAGCCTAAGCCTGAGCCTAAGCCTAAGCCTGAGCCTGAGCCTGACAATCATTGCTCAAACTATAACTAAGAATTTCAAGTACTAAATTCAACTCTTTTAGACTGTGACAACAACATCGATGAATCAAACTGCACGCATGTTAATGTGACGAATCCTGGAGAGAGTAAGAACACAAGAAAGTTTGTAAGAATACAATACCGATATTTCAGAGCCTCTTCTTTCTCCAATCAATCTTCCATCAAGAATGCAACCAGGAGTCTCACTTGCTGAAGTGATTCGAAAGAATCAAATCATGCAAGCAGGATCTCTGAATGGATTACCCGGATGCCAACCTTTCGAGTTTCAGTAAGTTCTTGTGAATTTTTATGTCAACAACTATAAAGATGTACTTTTTGTGATAAAATATTTCATTTGACCGCTTTTCTCTCACCAATAGCCTACAATTAACAAAAAAACTAGCCAAGTGTTTCATTAAGTACAAAGAAACGCTAAATATTGAGTTAATTAAAGGTTAAGCTTTTCAGATGTAAATCCAGTGAATGCATTATTCGCGATCTTCTTTGTGATGACACAAAAGATTGTCCAGATGGAAGTGATGAGAGTGAGGAGAAATGTGCAACACCACCAGGTAAAAGAAAGTTAAAAGTTTCAGTTTCAACAATTCTTATCGGTTTTTAGTCAAGAATGGCTAGTTTTTGCTAGTTTTAACCCAATAACAGATCAAGAACCAACATTAATTTCCAACCCTTGTTGGCAAGTTGAAAATTGAATTCTTTAGGCATTCCAGTGGTTGAGCCTCCACACAGCTTTCCGGACAGCGCAGGTTTGATCCTCAATCTTTATGACTCTTCTCGAATTTAGAATTGTCTACGATTGAGCCATATGGAGAGCTGAATGGACTATTATCTCCAATTGATATAAATCAACCAAAATCTTTGCCTATTCTGACTTCAACAACACTTTGGCCAAACATGGCATCATTTGGAGAGATCCCGAGCCCAGAACTTGCTACAGAAGCTGTTGAAAGGAATCTTGTAACTTCTACGGAAGTTATAGAATCCATAGATCTTTCAACAAAGCAAGAAACTACGGTTGAAAACTATCCACAACCATTTCTGCCGATAACTGGTGGCCCACCGCTTCCACCTGCAGGATTAGAACCAATGATACTACCAAGCGATGTAAATTTGCCACAAATACCCGTAAATTCAATCCCCGATGAGCAAGCCAATGAAAATTTGCCACAAGAAAACACTCCGGTTGTAGAATCAGTCAATCCGAATCTATTTACTTCAACTCTTGGAATGCCGGCTATCATCCCACTTAGAGGTCTTCTAGGCATTCCTCTACCAACAAAATTGAAAGAAAATGATCAGAAAACCGAGCCTATTGTCCCATTTCCATTTGTGCCGATCAATCAAGATGGAGACAAAAGGGAAACAGTAGGGAATGAGGTGAGTGGGGAAACTCAAGATGAACCAACGTTTTCAGCGATTCAATTTCATTGCAACTTGTTAGGTTTTAGAGTAAATCATTGTACAGGGTGACCAAGAATTGTGGCACAGAATTGTGATACGTGACACAACTAAACCACTTTTCCAAACGATAGTGCGGCTTAGCGAAATTAGCGACAACTTTTTGGACAAGTATCTGGGAAATGTCTAATTTATTTCAAAAGTGGCAAGTGTTATACAGATAATTGTAGGCCTAATTCTCGGCAACATTTATCTACCAAAAACATTCCGATTGGACTTATACAACTCATTTAACAAGCGCTTGAATGAGCGCTAGTCGACATCTCTCCGGCGAATCTGTCATTTGGCCACTTGTAGAAGCTTACTATTGAAACTGGATTTGAAATTTTACAATTGTACTCGTTTTCAGATCCCCTTCACAGCATCGGGTTCTCCGTTTTCTGTCACCAACGTTCTTCCCGATGAAACTTTCGGAAAGTCGCGTGTTCTTTCTCCGCTCGCGGTTTGTTAAGGCTTTTTTTGTCAATAATGGTCAATCTTTATGATTTTTTGTGTCATTTTGTAGATCTTAACAAGTGCAACAAAATGACAATAAAATCATAAAGATTGGTCCATTTAGAAGAAAGTTATGGCAAGTTTTGCAAAAAATTTGGATACAAATAGCCACCCCCCTTTTAATAATCCTTTTCAGGTTGATCTAATCGATGAAATGGGAGTAATAACAAAAATCTTTGTCGAAGATAATCTTATCCCAATTATTCCTATCAATGCTCCAGCTAATTACAAAATAATGGTGCCCATTCATGCAACAATCAAGGTTCTTGGAAACTAAGACAAAATTAGTGTAGTTTTGAAAGTTTGCAAGCTTTAGAAAAAGGATTATTTAAGAAAAAGATTCGCTCTTCAATGATTTTCTTCAATGATTAGATCATTTTAGAAAAAAGTCAAGATCTACACGAGTAGCCGATTAGAATCTCTTGCTTCTACTTCAGCTGGAGTTGATGATGATCAGGACATGAGAAAAAGATTGTGATCAAAAGGTTTTCTTGTATTTAGACTTGGGCTTTCATCCACTTTTTGTTCATAAACTTTTACACAAAACACATCTTAATCATCACAGAGTTTCACAAAACCATTCCCCATTTTCTCGCAGAAACTATTGGGTTGGTGAATTGAAAACTGCCGGCTATTGTCAAATGTGACAGTTTGAGCACTTTCTTCAAAAGAAACCCATTTTGGTGTCAATGGAAAAGTTGTAGAGAATCAAAAATTAAGCTTATATCCAAATTTTCAGAACGATTCAAAAACTGGTTTTCAAGAAATGCGAAACTTACGAATTTTCACAAAACTTGCATTTTAAGCGAAACTACTAAGTGTATCTTTTTGCAAATTTAGCTATAAGTCTAATTTTTGCTTCTCTACAACTTTTCTATTGATACCAAAATGGGTTTCTTTTGAAGAAAGTGCTCAAACTGGGACACCTCCAGTCCTCCATTTTTGAGTCTCACACTTGTCTCACACACAAACCAAAATCCTACTACGAAAGAGGAATCCGCAAACTGCCTGTAAAATGGGCAGAAGTCGTCAATAATAATGGAAATTATTTGGAATGAATTTATGGTTTTATGTTGAATAAATTCTAGTTCAAAGTCCCGCAGTTTTCAATTCACCAACCCAATATTAGTTTTTTGTGGTTTGCGAGGTTTTTCTTCTCAAGAATGATTGAGAGAAATTATTCTTGACATGTTTTTTACCGTAACTCTGACTAGTTTTCTAACGAACACTTGTAAGTTTCTTGGAAAACTTAGCTCTTTGATTGAGTACTAATAAGGGAAGGTCAACTGGGTGACAAATGGCATAAACCATAACCCATTCGACGCAGAATTTCGCGCTGAATCCAATGCTGTATTTTGTTTTTGCAATGACATTCTACCAAAAGTTATGGGCGTTTAAAGTTTTGCAACACTATAATGCCGTTTCCTGTCCGGGAGGCAGTGCGGCGGTGGCCGAGTGGCAGTCAGGTAGGTTTCGGGGAACCAGGCTCAGGCTCAGGCGAGTAGCAGCCTGAGCCAGGACCCTCTGGTTCGAGTTGACTTTATGATTTTCTTTTTGCTTTTTTTTAGGTTTTAAGCAACACTCGACTTCTTGCTAATGGAAAACCTTCAAAAAAAGCTTTTCGAAATTTCAAACTTTCAAAAGTCATTTACAAGAGAAATGATAGGGCTACCTAAGGAAAAAAACGTATTTTATTTGGAAGCTTAAGACTTCTTCAATTAGAAAATGAATTTGGGTGAAAGACTTTGTTCTCAACCTAATGGGCCGCTTGATAGGCCAAGTCTTGTGATCCTTGTTACAAGTCTTGGCCTATCTAGCCCTTATCAATCAGGTATCAAGAACCTGATGAACTTATCAATTTCTCAAGAGTTATCAATCGTTCGAATAAAACTTCTTTTTTTATATTTTCTTTCTTGTCATTTTTATATTACAACCAGAAATTGAGAAAAAAATGATCAATCACAGTTTACTTTAAAGATATTTTTTGATAATGCTTGCTAATTCTTTATTGATAAGTACTGATCTTGAAATTTGTTATTTTTGAAATTGATCACACTGGAAATTGTGTGGCGAATAGCCACTAAAAAGTTACCTAACTCTGGCAGCCTAAAAATTGGAGAATTATTGAGGATCGGTGCGCATTCATTCTATTTCGCACCCCAAATCATTTATTGTTTTGTAGCTTGTTAGCTGAGTATCTTGGGCTAAAGCCTATATAAGGCAACTGTTGTTCATTTGGTTCGGTTATCTTTCATTTTCTTTCTGCTTTCCTCTCATTGTGTGAAAGTTGTGTCCTAATTAGGACGAAATTGTTTCTGTTTTTTATCGTCGCCTTTTAATTCAATTGTCGATCTTGTGTGAAAATTGTTCAAGTGAGAGCCCAAAGATTCCGAGTCAGTCGGCTATTGAATAAAGTGTTTTTAGTTCAAGTGAGATCAGATATCTCGAAACAAGAAATAACGTGTCTTAAGTGAAGAGTACCAAGCACGCGAACAATATTTCTTTACAAATTGATGGTTCCTGATTAGCCCAAGTTTACTTGTTACTAGCCAATTCTATGAGCTTCACAAAAGATCTTGAAAGCATCAAAAGATAGAATAGAGCTCAGTCGAGCAATAGAGGAAGGAGAAGCTCATAGTCAAAAAAATATCTAATAGCAAAATAAAATTGAAATTTTTTTCTGGTGATGATGAATTTTTCAAGTACAGCGGTCATGTAATCAGGAAAATCTCCAACAAATTGTGAGGCCAAAAAAACAGCTTTGACACCAAGACCATCAACTTGAGCCACTTAAACCTATTTAGAGATTTAAGTTGAAATGGGGAACTTTTTTTTGAAAACCCTGTAGAGGTAAGACTAGACTAGTATACTCTTGACTCCTTTTTGGGGAAAGTTAGAAAAAGGGAATATCCTATAGACCTTTTCTATTCTGTTTTTCACCCGTAGCTCTTTTCACTTCACTACTGCACATAAAACAAAAGTTTACATAAATAAAGAAACCTTAAGTAGTACACAATAACATCTAGCACAAATCAAGTTTGAAATTCGGATTTGGAATTCACTTTGGAAGCAACAATGGAATTCACTTTTACACGATTCTTACGCAATCAAAAGGCAAATCAGATTTTTGGGAACAAATGAAAAAGCGAAGGGGTGATTGCGATCGATTTTCTTTTGTTGCTCACGTTGCTCCATCGTTGCATCATTGGTTACAACATCGTTGCTCACGTCACGCGTCGAGTGCACAATCATTGCATTGTATTACTCCATCTTGCGTTTAAATAGACCCTTAAATTTGATTCCTGGTTTTTTTAGGTCTTTTACTTTAGAGTTTGTAAATTATCTTTTGATTCCAAAAACTTTCTGTCGACAACCTCTTTGTTTTTGTTAGAGAGTTTGATGGCAATGCGTCATCGATTACTGGACAGCAAAGAAACACGGAATCGATTCGAAACAAGAAGAAAACACTTAACTAAACTCGAAATTCTTAAAATTGTCAAAAGCTTATCGATGAAATGCTTTCATTTCCATTTTCTATTTCTATTACCAATCGTTTTTGTATTGGTCTTCCTTCAACTCACACGGAATTATCTGGAGAAAAAGAGCGGTGAGTTTTTAGAAGCAAATTTCTTTAGAATTAGAATGGGAACTTGAAAGTTGGTACACTTATTCATTGCACTTTTTCGACATAACTAATGCACCGATTAACCTACAGTTTTTACCAATAAAAAGGCGCATTTATTTTCTAAAGCAGGCTTTTGACAGGCTTAAGAAAGCTTCGGTTTTGTAGATTTCTAGGGGGCAAGAAGTTGAGGAGCCAAAAATGATGAACACTCGATGAAGGGATTTGAGCACTTTCTTCCGCACAAACCTATTTTGATGTTAATATAAAAAAGATAGAGATAAAGATAGAGATAAAGATAAAGATGAAAGATAAAGCTTTTATGAACTGAGCGTGATCATCGAACTTTTCTTCCTCCAAAAAGCGTTTCAATGACCGAAGCAAAAAATAATCTGATGGTGCTAGGTCAGACGAGTAAGGTGCAATTTTTAGCCAAGCGCAATATCTAGCCAAGCTCTTCGATTCTTTTGTGAGTGGCTTTTGCCGTGTGTGGTTTTGCGTTGTCGTGGAGGAATCGGACCCTTGAAAGTTTGAGTTCCAATTACTTCAAGACCTTGCTAGCCCAAACCAATTTTTTGAATAAAGCTCGGCATCAACTGTTTGTCCAGGTTCTAGCACTTCGTAGTGCACCAAACCTTTTGCATTCCACCAACAATAGAGCATGATCTTTTCATGAGCGTCTGGTTTGGGAGTGGTTTTCGGCTCTTGATTTGGGAACAGCCACTGATTTTTTCGTTTATGATCCTCATAATGAATCCACGTTTCATCAGAAGTCAAGATTCTATTAAAGAAATCCACTTTTGGGGTGAGAATGAGCTCACACTTACACGAGCCGTTTTGTTGTTTTGAGACAGTTGATGTGGAACCCATTTTCCCTCCCGATTTTTCTTTCCAAGTTGATGCAAATGGTTTCCAATTGCAATATGGGAAACATCAAATAATTCCGCTAATTCTCGGGTAGTGAGTGTTGGGTTATTCTAGATTTCCACCAACAAATTCGTGTTCGACGTTTCTTCAGGATACCTTCCGCGCCACTCATCCTAGAGACATTCATTGTCTCTTTGGAAACGTTGAAACCATGTACGGCATTCTCTATCGCTAATATTTTCTTCTCCAAAAACAGAAATAATTGTACGATGAGATTCCGCTGCGGATTTTCCTAGTTTAAAATCGTAAAGCAATGCAGCCCGAATCAAAAATTTCTGGTCTTCCATTGAGGTATCGGAAAAAGAATGATGAAATTTCGAAAGAATGATGAAAAGAAGAGATTGTTTATGTAAAACTATTGTAGTTTGTTTTTATGTAAAAAGCGGGAAGAAGGCTCTTTCCAAAGTCAAAAAAATGAGCATTTGAAAGTTGCCAACCTAATAGGTAATAAATAACTTTTATTCAGAGAAGCCTAATTTAATTGGTGTATTATGAAAATACCAAAAAGGGTACCAACTTTCAAGTTGCCAATCTAATAGTTTTTAAAATAATCGCTGAAAACTTACAGCTAATTTGGTTACCGTTCAAGCTAATGCACAATTGGCCTATGAAATTGAAGTACAAATGACAAGACTTGGGAAACCACATCCAGTTTGTTTTTGGTTTCACCATTGTTTCAAAGCTAGCTTACAATCAGTTTGCTTAATTTTATTAATTCTATTATTTTTATATTCTTTTATAGCCATCCTTGCTTTGAAAGATGGTAGAATACTTGTCTGTCATAGATGGTAGAATACTGCAAAGATGGTAGAATACTTGTCTGTCAGTAGAACTGTTAGAGTACTTGGAGTACGTCAAGCTAACTTTGAACTTGTGGAATACAACTGACAAGCACCGGTTTAAAGCCTAAGACAGCTGAAAATTTGTAGAATCAAGTATACAAGTATACAATATATACAAGTTTAGTTTCACCAGCCATTCCCACTTTTGAAAGGAGACTCGACAATCTTGTGCCCAAAAGGCATCTCCATTTTATTCTTTATCCACACAGCTCCATTTGCTTTCAATCGACGAGAAACGATTCGGCAAACCTGGGGGAACAAAATTTGGCAAGAAAAGGTTCATTACTGACTTGTAGAATTAGTTTCTATCTCAAACTTCAGTTTGGTTTCAAAACTGTTTTTGTACTTGGCACTAGCAAGTTCCCGGATGAAAACGATCAGGTTTTTCATCCAAAATTTAAGAAAAAATATCCATTTAGTAGATGAACAGGGAAAAAGCGCAAAACGATGACATTCTACAGTTTGATTTTATCGAACATTATCGGAATCTGACAATCAAAGTTGTTAAAAAGAAATTGCTCAATCAAAAAGTTTCAGCAACTTTCTTGGTCTCGCTTTGCTTCTCAAAATTGCCGTGATGCTAAAGTTTTCGTTAAAATTGATGGTTTGCTTTTCATAGAAATTTATAAATCTTTTTTTAGATGATGTTTTAGTGAACATCTTTTGGTTCTTCAAAGAAATCAATGTTAATGAGTAAGTTGCAAAAGTTGATAAAACTTCATAAAACTTAGCTTCAACAACACATTGGTATGTGGACATGAATGTCAGTATCATCAAGTCTGGAGAGATAAGAGGAAACCATGGTTTGTCCTCGTTAAATCTACTCTTAACTTACCCAGCACATAAAGTAATGTAAGAGATAGTTGAACCAGGGATATTCAGGCCCAGGTACTAAGATTTGTAAGCCAAGCCGATTTCTGGATCTCTGGCAGAGCCAGAGCCAGGATCCAGTCAATTCCAAGCCTGACACCTAACGAGACCAGGGGCTTTTCTGGACAAGGCCTAAAATAATTCGAGACAACAAAAGGTTCGATATGGCAAACACTGTTTTTGATCCCAATGAAGGGTTTTACCTTAAAATAACCGATACAACGAACACTTCGTTATAGCCAATTTTTTGGCCGGTCCCTTGAAGTTCCTTGAGGTTATCGAGGTTCGATTGTAGTAGTTCGTAGTTCGGCCATGTAAGCCAACCCCTAAGACATGTAAGCCAACCGATCTCTGGATTTGTGGCACGGCCAGAGCCAGAAGCCAGTCAATTCCAAGTCAATTCCAAGTCAACTCCTAACGAGACCAGGCGCTTTTCTGGACAAGGCCTAAAATAAAGCCAGGGCGTGCAGCAAGCCCTTGGGCTGGTTTCGGAAAAATTGAGGGCGACCCGTTGAGAGCTGTTAAGTACAGTCGAAATTCGATATAACGAGCTTCGATACAACAAAAGGTTCGATATCGCAAACACTGTTTTTGATCCCAATGCAGGGTTTTGCCTTAAAATAACCGATACAAGGAACACTTCATTATAGCGAATTTTCTGGCCGGTCCCTTGAGGGTATCGAGGTTCGACTGTAGTAGCGACTCTGTCGACTGACATCTTATCTCTGTATTTCAGGTTTGTGCCAAAAGAAGCCTATGAACCGACTCTATGGCCTCGTTTCTGTTCGGGCGGTCTTGTGATCGAATCGGCTGACATCTTGCCTAAACTCGTCGCCGCCGTTGAGAAGCGAGAGCGGTACATCTCTGTGAGAATTTCAAATTCACCGATCGACTATTTTTGAATACAACGACTTTAGACAAATGACAAATGACTCTTTTAGACGGATGACACGCTATTCACAGGAATCCTACCTGATGAACTCAATATTACAAAAGTTTTGGCTTCTTCCAAGTTTGTTTATCGCTGCTTCTGGAGTTGATTTCAATTTAGATTTGTTCTTAATATCAACACGACTATTAGTGAAAGAATGGTCCTTAAAGAAGAGGCAATGTTTGGATTGTTCAGGTAAATGAAACGATTTTTTTTATTTCCACAGCTTTGTTTAGTAGCATTTTGGCAATCAGCCGAACTTTCAACGAATTGGCGAGATTTTACGGGTTTATTGTCGATGAACCAGACGAAATGCCGCGAAAATATGACAAATTGCATTAAATAAATATCTTTTACAGATAGATTTTGAAAATTTTGTTTTTGAAGTTGTAGAATCAATGAATTTGAATTTTAATTTGACCTTGGTAAAAATAAAGGTTTTGTAATCAATGAGAATCCAAAGCAAAATGAATTTTACTTTCGTTTTGTCGAAGAGTAGGCTCTTTATCAATCCAGTGATTAATCAAAAAGATGAAATAGAGAAACTTTATCAAAAAGTTCTGACTACTCCAGTGATTAAAGAATGCGAGTATGTAAATCTCTGTTCAACGATCATTCAATGGGAAGTTTTCACTCAGTTTCACTCAGAGCATATGTGAGTCGGTTGCTCTCGTTTAATCGACCTGTTTAATGTACTTGATATCAATCTAGCAAATGGGCTTCCACAAAATGATCGACTCACTTCATACACACTTCAATTTCGAATGGTTCTAAACGTTCCCAGACATCACAAATTGACTACAGTTACGACAGGCACAAGACATAAAAGCGAATTTCACTCCATAGGATACGGAAAAGACTTTTTGTTAACGAAGTTTCACTTATCTTCCCAAAAAGCTAAAGAAGAACAGCAAAAGAAAATGAAAAACTGATCGAAATTGATGAAAAAGCATTTCCTTTCAAAAGCCAATGATTGTTCTTTCCAAAAAATAACTCGCTCATGGTAGGATAAAACTAAAAAACAGAAACTCTCTAAATTAAATACGTTTTGGAAACAAAGTAAAAAGAAGAAACTACATATAAAAGACGAACATTTTGGCTTGAGATTAAAACCCATTCCACTTACGAGATGAGAAATGAGCATTCTAATAACAATTCCGAATTTAGAATTTTGCGACGGGATACTGTTTTCACGAGCCGTTAGGAATCTGCACTTGCTCTTGTTGTAACAAAGGATCGGGCAGATAGACGACGCCAAAAGCCAAAAAAGAATATAAACGGATCATGCCTTGTTTAACTGAACAATCGTAAAGCTATATACATTTCTCATCAAAAAATAAACTGTTGAACTGATAGCTTTTTACAATTCATTATCAAATATAGCTTCATTTAGCCCATTGGCTGTCAAATGGCTCCATTCATTTTCTGAAGAAGTGTTCTTTGTATTCTTTTGAAAAACCAAAGAAGATAGGTTGTACTTTTAAAAGTTTCATCATAAACAAGTTAAGTAAAAAAATAAAACTCATAAAAGAGCTATCACTTTCAATCGATTGCCATTTTCCAATAGATTTAGTTGTCAAAAAAGCGGCTCTTTTCTTCAGGAAATTCCAATTTTTTGGAGACTGAGCTAAAAAGTAAAACTTTAGACACTAAAAAGTTCACGTTTTTGCACTCATTTTGAAAAATATTATAACTGAACAACATGATAAGTAGAGCAAAGTACCCAGTCTAGTGTTTGTTGCTTCAGACAAATTGATCAACAGAATTCAAGACAAAAAGATCAGCCCCAAAACAGTAGACATTTGGAATTTCACTGGTTTACTGAAATGATAAACTTGACTGACTTCATGCCCTTTTATGACTTTATTGATCTGCACATTTCTCAATTTTGGGATTGTTTGCGGAATGGTTTATTCGGTATCTTTGAAATAAATTCAGATTGATAAATTGAGATTCAAGATTTGAGAAAAGTTTTACTTTTTACATTTCCGCGATTACTGTTTTGAAAACGTTTACATCCGAAAGCCAGGTGTCAATAAAGTTTTTAACAAAAACGATTTTGTCTAACAAAAAAAGAAAGAGGAACTCTGCTCTCCGGCAAAATGAAAGAAAAATTCATTTTGCTTTAAATTCTCATTGATTACAAAGCCTTTATTTTCACCAAGGTCAAATTCAAATCCAAATTCATTGATTCTACAACTTCCATAAAAGAAAATTTTCAAAATCTATCTGTAAAAGATATTTATTTAATGCAATTTGTCATATTTTCACGACATTTTGTCTGGTTCATCGACAATAAACCCGTAAAACCTTGCCAATTCGTTGAAAGTTCCGTTGATTGACGAAATGTTACTAAACAAAGCTCCGGAAATAAAAAGAATCATTTCATTTACCTCAACAATCCAAACATCGCCTCTTCTTTAAGGATCATTCTATCACTAATAGTCGTGTCGATATTAAAAGCAAATCTGAATTGAAATCAACTCCAGAAGAAGCGATAAACACACTTGGAAGAAGCCAAAACTTTTGTAATATTGAGTTCATCAGGTAGGATTCCTGTGAATAGCGTGTCATCCGTCTAAAAGAGTCATTTGTCATTTGTCTAAAGTCGTCGTATTCAAAAATAGTCGATTGGTGAATTTGAAATTCTCACAGAGATGTACCACACTCGCTCCTCGACGGCGGCGACGAGTTTCGGCAAGATGTCAGCCGATTCGATCACAAGACCGCCCGAACAGAAACGAGGCCAGAAAGTCGGTTTATAGGCTTCCCTTGGCACAAACCTGAAATACGAAGTTAAAGAAGATGTTCAGTCGACCCACTCGAACTACGAACTACTACAGTCGAACCTCGATAACTTGAAGGAACCACAAGGGACCGGCCAAAAAGTTCGCTATAACGAAGTGTTCGTTGTATCGGTTATTTTAAGGTAAAACCCTTCATTGGGATCAAAAACAGTGTTTGCCATATCGAACCTTTTCTTGTATCGAAGTTCGAGTGTGCTTAACAGCTCTGAGTGAGTCTCTCTCAAGGGAAGTTTTCCGGATCAGATCAAGGTCTTGCTGGCATGCCCTGACTTTACTTCAGACTTGATCCGGCAAACTTAAAAACTGGCCTCGTTAGGGGTTAGATTGAAGTTAGAAGGCTTGGACTTGATTAGATTCTGGTTATGGCTCTGGCCCTGCCACAGATCTAGAGATTGGCTTGGCTTAAATCTCCTAGTACTTGGGCCTGAATATCCCTGGTTCAACTATCTCTTACATTACTATGTGCTGAGTAAGTTAAGAGTACAAGGACAAACCATCGATTCCTCTTATCTCTCAAGACATCATTATACTGACATTCATGTCCACATACCAATGTGTTGTTGAAGCTAAGTTTTATGTAGTTTATGAAGTATCAAATTTTGCATACTCATTAACATTGATTTCTTTGAAGAACCAAAAGATGTTCACGAAAACATCATCTAAAAAAAGATTTATAAATTCCTATGAAAAGTAAACCATCAATTTTAACGAAAACTTTAGCATCACGGCAATTTTGAGAAGCAAAGCGAGACCAAGAAAGTTGCTGAAACTTTTTGATTGAGCAATTTCTTTTTAACAACTTTGATTGTCAGATTCCGATAATGTTCGATGAAATCAAACTGTAGAATGTCATCGTTTTGGGCTTTTTCCCTGTTCATCTACTAAATGGATATCTTTTCTTGAATTTTGGATGGAACACCTGATCGTTTTCATCCGGGAACCTGCTAGTGCCAAGTACAAAAACAGTTTTGAAACCAAACTGAAGTTTGAGATAGAAACTAATACTACAAGTCAGTAATGAACCTTTTCTTGCCAAACTTTGTTCCCCCAGGTTTGCCGAATCGCTTCTCGTTGATTGAAATCAAATGGAGCTGTGTGGATGAAGAATAAAATAGAGATGCCTTTTGGGCATAGGATTGTCGAGTCTCCTTTCAAAAGTGGGAATGGTTGGTGAAACTAAACTTGTATATCTTTTGATTCTACAAATTTTCAGCTGTCTTAAGCTCTAAGCCGGTGCTTCTCAGTTGTATTCCACAAGTTCAAAGTTAGCCTGACCTACTCCAAGTACTCTAACCGTGCTACTCTATGACAAACAAGTATTCTACCATCTTTCAAAGCAAGGATGGCTATAAAAAAAGATAAAAATAATAAAATTAATGTAATTGAACAAACTGATTGCAAGCTGGCTTTGAATATGAAATAATGGTGAAACCAAAAACAAACTGGATGTGGTTTTCCAGGTCTTGTCATTTGTACTTCAATTTCATAGGCAAAGGGTCCTGAACGGCAACCAAATTAGCTGTGAGTTTTCAGCGATTATTTTAAAAACTATTAGATTGGCAACTTGAAAGTTGGTACACGTTTCCGTATTTTCCATAATACGCCAAGTGAATTAGACTTCTTTGAATAAAAGTTATCTATTACCTATTAGGTTAGCAACTTTCAAATTCTCACTTTTTTACATATTTTTTTTTGAATATCGAAAGCTTTCTTCCCGCTTTTTGCACAAAAACAAACTACAATATTTTTACGTAAACAATCTCTTGTTTTCGAAATTTCATCATTCTTTTTACGGATACTTCAATGGAAGACCAAAAGTTTTTGATTCGGGCTGCAATGCTTTACGATTTTAAACAAAATCTGCGGCTGAATCGCATCGTAAAATTATTTTTGTTTTTGGAGAAGAAAATATTAGCGATAGATAATGCCGTACATGGTTTCAACGTTTCCAAAGTGACAACGAATGTCTCCAGGATGTGCCGCGCCGAAGGTATCCTGAAGAAGTGTCAAAGACGGATTTGTTGGTGGAAATCGAGAATAACCCAACACTCACTACCCGAAAATTAGCGGAATTTTATGGAGGTTGCAATTGAAAACCATTTGAATCAACTGGGAAAGAAAAATCGGGCAGGAAAATGGGTTCCACATGAACTGTCTCAAAGCAACAAAACGGCTCGTATAAGTGTGAACTCGTTCTCACTCCAAAAGTTCAGGCGAAGGAGTTCTTGAATAGAATCTTGACTTCTGATGAAACGTGGATTCATTATGAGGATCATAAACGAAAAAATCAGTGGCCGTTCGCAAAGCAAGAGCCGAAAACCACTCCCAAACCAGATGTTCATGAAAAGAAGATCATGCTCTGTTGTTGGTGAAAGGAAAAAGGTTGGGCGCAACCCTGGACGAAATGCTAACCCTGGACAAACAGTTGATGCCGAACTTTATTCAAAAAAATTGGTTTGGGCTAACGAGGCCTTGCTCAAACCCCTTCATCGAGTATTCATCATTTTTGGCTCCTCAACTTCTTGCTCACTAGAAATCTACAAAACCGAAACGTTTCTAAATCTGTCAAAAGCCTGTTTTAGAGGATAAATGCGCCTTTTCCTTGATAAAAACTGTAGATTAATCGATGCATTAGTTATTTCTAAAAAGTGCAATGAATAAGTGTACCAACTTTCAAGTTCCCAATCTAATAAAGAAATTTGCTTCTAAAAACTAACCGCTCTCCAGATAAATCCATGTGAGTAGAAGAAAAACCAATACGGAAACGATTCGAAATAGAAATCGAAAATGGAAATGAAAGAATTTCATCGATAAGAGTCTGACAGTTTTAAGAATTTCGAGCTTGGTTAAGTGTTTTCTTCTTGTTTCAAAAGTAAATTGAATTCAAAAACTTCTTTAGCCACGTATCTAATGAGGAGAGAGGCAGAAAATATTTGATGTCTTTCAGTCTTTTCGTGCATTCATTTGATCGATTCGAGTGGGGTGATAAGAAGTCGTGATAAGAAGTCGTGTCTGGTGAGGAAAATAAGTGCTTTTGTCGAAAACTTTCTATTGACACCTGACTTTTGAATGTAAACGTTTTCAAAAAAGTAATCGCGGAAATGTAAAAAGTTAAACTTTTCTCAAATCTTAAAGATTCTCAATTGATTCATATCCAGTCCTTCTTTTACGGAAAAACTTTTTGAGATCTTTTTCCCAAAATTTGTAGAAGAGTTCGCGCTCTTTGTCAATCCAGTGATTAATCAAAAAAATGAAATAGAGAAACTTTATCAAAAACTTCTGACTAATCCAGTGATTAAAGAATGCGAGTATGTAAATCTCTGTTCAACGATCATTCAATGGGAAGTTTTCACCGAGTTTCACTCAGAGCATATGAGATTCGGTTGCTCTCGTTTAATCGACCTGTTTAATGTACTTGTTATCAATCTAGCAAATGGGCTTCCGCAAAATGATCGCCTCACTTCATTCACACTTCAATTTTGAATGGTTCTAAACGTTCCCAGACATCACCAAGGAATATTTGAAGAATTTCCGAGTTCGTTTACACAAGCATCATTGCAATCAACAGATTGCACTGAAAACGATCTCAAAAAGATCAAGAAATTATATCATCGTGGATCCGCTTGCTACTTTTTCATTTAGTACAGTCCTAAACTAGTACCAGAACTAACCGATAATAACTGTATTTAGTACCGTGCTTTAGTGCTACCAGTGCTGCATTTAGTCCAAGTACAAGGTGATCAAAAAGTTCCCGCAAACTTGTAAATGATGTAAAAGAAAAGTGTAAATTTCAAAGGACTTTTGAAGGATTTTTCAATTGAAAACAGATACAGCAACTTTCTTGGTCTCGATTTGCTTCTCAACATTGCCGTGATGTTAAAGTTTTCGTTAAAATAGATGGTTTGCTTTTCATAGAAATTTATACATCTTTTTTAGATGATGTTTTAGTTTTCAAAAACCATTGCTTTGGACGGGACAAGATAAGAAGTCCATTTATAAACATTCATACATTGTACAACATTTGTACTGCCACATTTGGTTCTTCAAAGAAATCAATGTTAATGAGTATGTTGCAAAAATTGATACTTCATAAACTACATAAAACTTAGCTTCAACAACACATTGGTATGTGGACATGAATGTCAGTATCATCGAGTCTGGAGAGATAAGAGGAAACCATGGATTTTCCTCGTTCAATCCACTCTTAACTTACCCAGCACATATAGTAATGTAAGAGATAGTTGAACCAGCGATATTCAGGCCCAAGTACTAAGACATGTTAGCCAAGCCGATCTCTGGATCTGTGGCAGGGCCAGAGCCAGAATTCAGTCAATTCCAAGCCTACATCGAAGTTCGACTGTGGCAGTAAGTAAAACCAGGGTATGCCAGCAAGGTCTTGATCTGGTCCGGAAAACTTTTCTTAAGGACGACCCGGTCAGAGCTGTTAAGTAACTGAGCATCTTCTTTAACTTCGTATTTCAGGTTTGTGCCAAGGGAAGCCTATAAACCGACTTTCTGGCCTCGTTTCTGTTCGGGCGGTCTTGTGATCGAATCGGCTGACAACTTGCCGAAACTCGTCGCTGCCCTTGAGAAGCGAGAGCGTTACATCTCTGTGAGAATTGCAAATTGACTAAAGACATCTATTTTTGAGTACTTTAAACAGATGACACGCTATTCACTGGAATTCTACCTGACGAACTCAATATTACAAAAGTTTTGGCTTCACCCAAGTGTGTTTATCGCTCCTTTTGACTGATTGATTTCGATTGATTTGATTTCGATTCAGATTTACTTTCAATATCAACATGACTTGCAGTGAGGAAATGGTGCTTAAAGAAGAGGCAATGTTTGGATTGTTCAGGTGAAATGAAATGATTCTTTTTATTTCCACAGCTTTCTTTAGTAGCATTTCGTCAATCAGCCGAACTTTCAACGAATTGGCGAGATTTTACGGGTTTATTGTCGATGAACCAGACGAAATGCCATAAAAATATGACAAATTGCATTAAATAAATAGGTTTTACAGATATATTTCGAAAATTTTGCGTTCTTGAAGTTGTTTTATGGAGTTTGAAGAAAAAATAGTTTTGGTGCATGAAGTTTATTGTATGAATCAAAACTTTTCATACTTCCTTTATCGTTTTTTATGAAGTAAACATGGTCTGTACGTTGATCTTTTGATGATTTTCTTTTGGTTTACGAAGGAACAGTGCACTAATAAAACTAAAAATTTGTTATACGAGAAGAAAACCGAAATGTTCACCTCGTAATCAACGTAAAAAACAGTGTTTTCAAGAAAATGAGCAGCTCACTGTAGACCATGATTATACTCAAGCCAAAGAAGAGCTCAATAATTAGGAGTACAGCATAAAGTAATATTGTGTTGATGAGAATGATGAATGTATTACACAACATCTGAAACAAAGCATGTTGTTAAGAGATAAAAGAAATCGAAAGTAAAATGCATCCAGCTTTTAAACACAAAATTTCTTTAAGATTCTCAAAAATTGAACGCACTTACCTGGAACATTAATAAGTTCTCAATTCTTGATGCCTTTCCGTCTCGTCTCAGCTGAATTTGAAAGACATGCTTGTGAGTACAAAGACAGCTTAGCTTTTAATGTCAAGCTTACTGATTGCGTTTGTTTAGACAAAACGTATGGTTTTCACGGATGGGCTCTAAAGACAAACTGTATGAACCTACCGTCTTCATTTTCCGATTCGTCATCAAATCTAGAGCACACGTTAGAAAGTAGAAAAACGGTATAATGTGGCTATCAATCGCTGAGAATCCCCATGCGTATTCACCCTTGAGCTTTTTCACAGTGGTGAGCAGAATTCGAAGCACAAATGGTATCAGAACTTGTAAGAATGGTAATCTCGACGTGTATTTGAAATAGCTTCCATCAAAAGAGACTGCGAAAAATCGGCTTAATGAGATGATTAGCTGGCAGAATTGCGAAAGATCATAAAAACTGTAGTCATTGACGGCGAATACATAAATATCGACAAAAGTTAGACGAAGGTTTTCAGAGCAAGTAAAGTGCTTCTTCAAATGTTGTTTCATAAAATCACAGATGTTTAGCAGAAGAAAAGCGATGATGTAGAGAAATTTGCAAATGCTTTCGATTGTTGCCAAAAGTCTAGAATTGAAGTTTTTGACAAAAACTATAGCTTTGAACAGGACGAGATAAGAGGTCCATTTATAAACATTTGTACTTCCACATTTGTAAACTTTATAATTCTGAGGTTCACATTAATCAGCTCGCTTAAAGTTTCAATATCAGATTTTTCTTATTTCTGTTTGCTTAGGATGATTTTTGATTTAGATATCACAAATTGAACGTTACCTAATCGAAAATGTTAATCGATCGTTGGTCGCAGAGAAATAAATCGCAAATGGAGTCACAATCAAGCCGAGCACAACAACCTAGATAAATTTTCTTAAGAATTAAACGACAATCTTATATGAGTCATAATCAAGCCAAGTATAACAGCCTAATAAGGCTGCAAAGTGCTCCAGAGTAAAGTCTAAAGTTTACCAAAAGTGTTCCAGCTGAAATATGCTCTACAATGTTTGCTTCCAACTCGTAATCGATATTAATCAGCGAATTGTAATCCAAAATAGTCCAATCATGTTCAGCACAAAATTGTACAAGAATAGCGGTTGCTGGATTTGATCGTACATGGAAAAAATCTTCTAACAAACCTTGTAAAACTATTGTCAGCAATGATACGAGAATAATCTCATTCTTATATAACTGAAACAAAATTGACTTCACAGGTTCAAGCTGCATAATAGTTAGTCAATAATCTTATCGATAAAATATATTCTATGCAAGTTGTTGAAACATTTTGGCAAAAGTCAAATGATAGGTTAAATTGGGCTTAGAAGAACTAGATCTAGCTATAGGGCTGAAATTTTCAAGATTCAAGTTCTGTGTGTATTTTATGAAATAAAATGAACATGAAATCCTGTGTTCAGTGATTAACCAAGCTATTTTTTTCTATAATTTCTAATGACAGATGAAAATTTGTTGAGTTTTCTTTGTGAACTTGCAATTTGGGCAAATTGAGGGCTTTATTCCAGTACTACTTATCGGTTTTTACAATCATTCTTGTTTGATTTTGCAAAATTTCTCCAATTACAAGTTTGTGAACGTTCGCTTTTTTGGTGAACCTGTGAAATGAGTCACAAAATTTGAACTTAGAGTTGGAGAATTTTATTGTAAATGTCAATGAATTTGAAGATCAATGAAAGTTCGCTTCTCGAAAGTCCTTTGAGTTTAAGCCGTGGATCGGCTTGTTACTTATTCACTACTTTTCTGCATATATTTATTTGAACTACTTCTCATCCAAATGTTTACTTTTAACTATTAACCAAACAGCTTTCATTAAAGTCTAAAAAACAACTTTGACATTGATGGCATCGTCGATGAAAAGGTGAAAAGGGAAAAGCATAGATTGACTATAGTTACGACAGGTACAAGACATAAAAGCCAAAAACGAACTATTAACTTTGCAAAGCGAAAGAAGCAAAAGAAAAAAGTGAAACAGCGGACTTGAACTAGAAAGACTTTATCTTGTATTTCTCGATACTCGACTACCAGTCGACTACCACTGCCTCTGGGGAGTCTGCTTATAAACTCGGGGTGTGACTTTTAAAATCCCATATAAAACTTTAAACCCTTCAAACATTTGACAGAGTGCTCCTTAGCAGAAACGGAAAGCAGATTCGGAATCAGCGTGAAATTCTGCGTCGAATGGTCTATAGCTCATGTCATTTGGCCGTCACACCCAGTTGATCTTCTCTTGTTAGTGAAGTGTGGAAAGCTGCAAAGTTTGTTATCGTGGCTAAAATTATACTAATTTGATTCGACAGGATACGGAAAAGACTCTTTGTTAACAAGATTTTTGTTATGGAGGTTTTTGCTAAGGTATTTTGTTAAGAATTTTTTCGTGAGACCTCAAAATCATTTTGCTATTGAGTTTTGTTTGCTATCGAGGCTTTTGTTATCGAGGTTTGACTGTATAGGTCTTTTCTCCAATACTGTGATGTTTTCTAAGAATATTCGATAGAGTCGTGTTTTCGAAAGCCCAAATGTAGGGCGTTTCCGGGATACAAACACAAAAAACGATTCTTTCACACAGAAAGCTCATTTCTCTCTCTTGTCTTAGGAAAAAAATCAACTATTGGACCAAAAATTGATTCAAAATTTGTATGCAAATAAAGAATCTTTTCTTCGTTTTGCTGTTAGCAGCATTGCTTTTCTTTTTCTATCAAATCTTTTTCTTCACAACTGAAAAACAGAAAAGGTGAGTGTTTTGAAGTTCTAATTGAATTAAACAACCTAAATACAACTCATTGTCAGTGCTCCAAAAATTATTTTGGCGTGGAACGATTTCTTTGGCCGAGATCCTTTCTTTGGGCAATCTACCTCGTGCTCTTTTAATGTGGGTTTATTACTTAAAAGATCGAATTTGGACGACTTACTGACAATGAGCACTTGATATTCTAAAAACTATTGGAATCTTTGATTGTAAAACCTATGCTATTCCTGTTCTGAAGCAAAATCAGTTCAAGTCAGACAAGGTAAAAAAGGCCAGTACCTAACTTTTGACCCAGCGCCAGCTTTGCTCTGCCTAACCTAGACCGGAAAAGTACCTTATCTACTAGAGACAAAGGGAAGCGTCTGTCCATCCGTCCGTCCGTACGCGCGAATTCTCAGCTCCCCGTTAGCCGATTTACATAATTTTCAGTTTGTTAGACTTAGAATTCCATGTAATTGTGCATCTCATATTTCATTTTTTTAAAAGCAAAAGTCACGACACAGCCGGGAGTTAAATCCGGGTCGTGCGCGTGTGGCCATCGCGCTATTCACTGCGCCAAAGTTGAGAAGGTGAAAATAACGAAAGTTTACATACGAAAATTAGCAATCGAGTTATTTTAACATCTACTTATCTACTTTTCTGTATATAAAAGAGCAGTGTCGGTCCATCCGTCTGTACGGGCTTTTTCTCAGCCGTCTTTAGGCCAAAAAAAGCTGAAATTTATTAAAGAGTCTTAAAATCTAATATAGTTATGCCATTTTAAACAAAAACTGTAAGATTCAAGATTGAGTGGCACTGGGGAACGAACCCTGGTCATATGGCGCGCGCTTCGGACAAGCGCGCCTCTGACAAGCGCGCCTCCGACATGCGCGCCTCCGACTGCACGCTCACGACTCGACAAAACCTGACAAGCTTGACAAAACGGCTCGACAACATCCAGTTAGGAAAACCCTGCGCTCCCGATTGTGGCACAATGATTATGCCTTAGCCTAAAACATCTAGCCACAAAAACCCGGCTTTAGGGCGGTTTTTCGGCTGGTAGTTAGAATAACTCTGGTTTTGATGATGTGTTTCAAGCTGTAATGATAAAGGTAACATATCTTAGAGCTATTTTCAAAAGGCTTTGGTACTTGTAAACACTTTCATTCCACAATATTAAGCGCAAACTTTCTTCAGGGTGCTTGTTTACTCACAAAGAATCGAAGTCTAATTTCCGTGGCTGATGTGGTGGCTTTCCACTCCAGAGACACTAAAGATCTCCCGTCACCAGAAGATAGAAAAACAGTTTGTCTTTTCACTAGAGTAAGTATTTTTTTAATTGTTTAAGCATCAAGTTTACCTCTATTGGAATATGGAAAGTCCAGCGAATGCGGGCGGATTTAAATTCCCAGGTAAAGTTGATCAAAGTCTAAAGTTTTGCTTGACTATCCAATTTCAGAAAACTATTTCAATCGAACAATGTCATTTTCTCCGAAATCCGATATTCGGCTATCATATAGAGCAGTGAAATTCGTTAAACAGTACTTTAAAATTGTTTAAGCCTTTTACCTGAAACTTAGTGCTCATTTCTCGATGGAGTCTTTCTCCGGACAAGCTCTTCCAATGCCTTCAAAAGACTTTTTCTTAATGAAAAATGAATCAATTTTTGGATTAATATCGAATTGCAGAAATGGAAGCAACGAGAGGGGAAATCTGGTGCAATTGATAACAAAGTGAGTTTTACAAGTGATTCTTATTATTTAGACTTTTCCAAAAGTAAAAAAAACTTGTTTACAGCTTATATCCAGTCGATCTATATGGCAAATGCGCATGGGAGAAGAAAAATAAAGATTTCTGCACGAGAAAGCTCGGATGTAGCAAAGAGCTCAGAGAAGCTGTGGAGAGTGAGTTAAAAATCGATTTTTTTTTTGTTTGTGGTATGTTTCTAGAACGACTATTTCATTTGGTGCTTGAGAATACGGATTGTTTGGGTTATGTAACGGAGAAGACATTCGATCGAATTGGATATGATTCAATTCCGATCGGGATTCGGAGGGATGCTTATGAAAAGGCGTGAGTAAATGTTTTGCATTGATTTTAATTTCTTATTTAAACAGTACCCTAATAACTTAATAAGGTTTAATGTTTCAGAAATTTTATTCAAATTGCGAAGTTGTGAGAATACAAGGTGGCCCAGAATTATAGGTGCAGTGGCTTATTGTCTAGCTTTGCTGCTGCTTCGTTGAAAAAAAATTTTTAGACCAAAAAGCAAAAGAATTGGCGGCAAGAGGGGTCGAACTCGCGACCTCTCTCTTCCGTTCGTCTGAGAAACGCTTGCGTTAAACACTCGGCCATGTTCTTTTAGCAGATGGCGCAGTGCGAGCGCACTTGTCTCTAGCCCACACGACCCGGGTTCGACTCCCGTCCGGGGGAGCACTTGGTTTTTTTAAAAAATTTAAAAATATGTTGCACGACCACATGGAATCCTAAGCCAAACTAACCATAAATCATTCGAAACGGCCCACTGAGTGCGGAGAATTGGTGCGCACAGACAGACAGACAGACGCAGCTCTTTTATGTCTAGTAGATTATTATTAACTATCTCGGTTTCCTCAAAGCTGAAATTTTACACTGAACACCAAAGCATTTCAAGAATCGAATCTGGACATCCCAACAAGACGGTGCTCCAGCCCACAAAGCCAAAAGAGTCCAAAATTTTTGCAAAGTGAAATTTCCGGATTTCATCTCTTTTTCTGCATCGCCCAGCTCGCCGGATCTCAATCCGATGGATTATTCTCTCTGGCCCGTCCTTGAGACCAAAGCCTGCTCCAAAACCGCATAAAAATGTTAAAAGTTTGAAGAAAAGTCTTTTGAAAGCCTAAGATGAACCCGATGATACTTACTTTTTAAATCGTCTTTTAGAGTATCTGTCCGGAAAGCAAAGAGATCGAGGGTTCAATCCCCTTTCCGAAATCTTTCTTTGCCATTCATTACTTTACTTTATTACTAACTCCCGTGTTCTGATCTTCAAGCCCACGGGAGCCCACGGTCGTGAAAAGCCGGATATTTCCTCCTCTTTCTTCCTTTCTCTTCCCCCTTGTATTTCCTCTTTCTTGGCAAGAAGATACCGGATAGCTCAGTCGTTAGAGCATCTGCCAAAAGCAAAAATGTCGAGGGTTCAATCCCCTCTCCGGAAATCTTTCTTTGCTATTCCTTATTACTTGGTCACCACCGTGGGCGCTTTCCTAAACGCTTGACAGCGTGCTCAGCTCTAAATGGTGATCGCTTTAATTGTTAACTTGTTGTTCATTGATATGAAGTCAAGATTTTTAAACGAAAGTTTGCTCCCTTAAGTTTAATTTTGTCTACCTATAAAGCTTTTTATCTGCACCTATAATTATGGGCCACTTTGTAGTTCAGCTAACCTTTGGGAAGACAAGTCTTCGTCTGGCTTTGATCTTGTTGTCTAGACGATCCTGGCTTTACGGAAGCTTGCTCTTGCCTGATCTGATGCCTGATCCCTAATGCTCCTTAAGTTGATTATCATACAATAATAACCAATTCTTTTGAGCAATAATATGAATGCATGAGATTTCAGAGGACTTCCAGTAGGCGCCTTCATTTTCCTTGACGATTTCGAGTCTCCACAGATGTTTGTCGATCATTTGAGGTACTTGCAGCTTTGAGATTTCAATCAATTCATTTTTAAGGTATTTGGAAAGCAATGAAACGGCCTACATTGAATATTTTCAATGGAGAAATGAGTATTCAATTGTGAAAAATGAAGAGTCTTGGTGTGAGCTCTGTCGAAAATTGAACACAAAAGACAATCCATTAAAGGAAACAAAGGTTTATAATTTTAATGCAAAAATCTTAATCGAATCTAGATGATCAAAAACATTTACAAAGAATATGCAACTTGCTTCGCTAAATCGATCTGGAAAAGTTTTGTTGATAAGCTGAAAGAGTCGATGATTCCAAAAACAACCAAATCTCCTGGGCCTTTTGCCCAGAATCTTCCAGTTTATAAGCTTCCAAAACCAAAGGAAAATCAAAAAACTTAAGAATTTCTAAGCATTAGATTTTAAATAAGGGTTCAAGTTAGGTTTTATTGGTTGCTTTTTAGGTTTGTCAAATTATATTTGTATTATCATATCAAAAATCGATAGATTATAGCTTTCTTAGGCTATTTCTACTTAAAAATTACCCTGACTTTAATTCTAAAGCGGTATTTACAAGTTGCACCTTCAGAATCGCAGAAATTGATTGAGAATTTGCAAATTTAGAATCACAACAGGAGTGTTTAGAGATTTAACTAACTATCATTGACTGTCATTGATCCATTTCAAGCTTTTTATGTGCTTTTCTCATTGTTATATTCTTCCCAAAATAAATAAATGAGTTTGTATCATGTTTTTCATTCAACAATGATTTGATTATTCAGACATTCAGTCAAATCAAAATAAGGAAGATTGTAGAGATTTGATACGCGCCCTGACCCCTTTGCCATTGGCAATCCAACTTTGAGCTCAAATATCTTGGTGTTAGGCTGTCAAATTTAAATGGTTTTTGTACCAATCGACAGAGAAAGACTTGGTGCATTCAATGATATCAAGAATATTTGAGCTCAAAGTCGAGATAGAGGTCAAAGTTAGATGGTCAATGGCAAAAGAGGCGGGACGCGTATCAAATAGCCGATAACCAGAAGTAATCATTTCACGAATAACAATCCAGGTTGTAAATAAGCAAAGATCAAATTCGATTTGTGTTTGCCAATTTTTCGGTTTCATTTTTTTTCCAAAACATCTGTTTTCTTTTCGATTAAGAAAGGCAAACTTTTCAAGTGAGTCTGGAAAAAAGAAATCATCCAATTAGCGGATTTTTTTTACGTTTTTAGTTGCAATCACATTTCCAGCAACTTTATGTAACAAAATTTTATGCTATTTAATCCTATTTCATCTAAAAGTGGTAAGTTTGAGTAGTTACTAGAGTGCAAAAGCCATCGCCACCCCGGCAGGGTGGGAGAGGGTAAGTTTTTTTTTGCAGGAACCTAGGCATCTCGATTAGTTAAGCAACTTTCATTATTACGACAATGTTTAAAAGTGTGCGGTCGGGTTTGATCTTTTTCCGAGGAATTACCGTTCTGATATTCGTGATCAGCACACAAAAGTATCTAGGAAAACGAATTTTCAGGTACCTCCCCCATCCGCTTCCACCGATCTCCCCTACCGGCCCCGATTGGGAGGAGCACCCAGGGGCGCAGGGACGGCCTGGGCGAATCCCTTTCACACATCATTTTTAAACTTTGTCGTAAGAATGAGAGTTGCTTAACTAATCGAGATGCCTGGGTTTCTGCAAAAAAAAAAACTTGCCTCGCTCCACCCGCCGGGGGAGGAGTGGCTTTTGCACTCTACGTTGTCGAATTCTCTTCCCAATGAAATTTGCAATCTTTCATCTCTAAGCTTGTTTAAATCCGCTATTTCTCTGCTCAAACTATCTAAGTTACTAGTTCGGTAAATGGTATTGTTTTTTCTTTGTTCCGATTAATTGCAAACTGTGTAATTTCAATTTTTGTGGGTTGTTGATCTTTTTGTTACGCTTTATTACTGAAATAAAGTACATATTATTATTATTATTATATTACTAGTCATTAAATTAGTTGTTGCCTGAATTGTATCAAATTTATCACTCATTTTTGGTTGAAGGGTTGAATTGACCTAGCTTAAAAACAATTTCTCAACTTTAGTTTCATTGCTCAAGCTATTTGTTGATTTCTCAACTTTCAACCTTTCATCTGTGTCGGATGATAGGAATTTGCATCTCAAATTGTGTTTTTGCTGTTCCTCGTCGCGAGCCATTCATTCTGCAAAAGGATGAGATACGAATCAGTCAATTGTGAATGCTATTACCTGTCTCATTTTACATTTTACTCGTTCTCATTTATGAATTTGTTGCCTTTTCGATTCTGTGGTAAAGTTCCAACAAATTGATGGCGGACATTCATTCACTTGACAAGATTTTTTCAGCGATAAGGCTTTCGAACAACTCTTGGTTTGGGAAACATTAATTTTAACAATTTTTTCAAATATTCTCAGACGAAATGATATCATTTTAAATGTATTTAATAGCAAATCAAGTCATTCAAAAGTGCAAAAACTTCTCTAAACTAGTTGTTTTGAGATCTCAATACAATATTTTGTGAAAATCATACTCCTCGCGAGAATTCGCGTTTATAGAAAGTGCACATTTTTTGATGTTTGCTAACAAACACAAATATGGTCAAGAGAAAGAAAGAAAGAAAGAAAGAAAGAAAGAAAGAAAGAAATAACAAATATGAGAAAAGGAAAGATTTAAGATAAAAGAACAAAATTTGGGGTAGGCTAATTTCCGCCATTTTATTTGCGCAACAGGATTATTTGCGCAACTGGGTCGTTTGCGCAAGTCGCCATAACTTCCTGTTAAGTGGACCAATCTTTATAATTTTGGTTTCATTTTGTAGATCTCAATAAGTGCAACAAAATGAAACCAAAATCATAAAGATTGGTCCACTTAACAGAAAGTTATGGCGAGTTGTGTAAAAGACCTAGTTGCGCAAATGACCCAGTTGCGCAAAAAAATTCGCGCAAAGTAGCCTATCCCCAAAATTTTAAAAACACAATGCAAAATAACAAAGAGATTTCCTCAAATACAAAAAAAAAGAGGAAAATCTGTACAAATTCTTGACTGAAAGAACAGTAATCAAAAATTTCATGTTAGACAACCGTGTGAAATAAAAGAACAAAGCAAAAATATCAAATGAAAGACAGTTAAAATTGGGAGAGAACATAGAGATTCAGAAAAACAGAAAAACACCTGCAAGTGAATTAGTGAGGGGAGAGAAAAAGAGGGGAAAGGAGGTCCTTTCCCCTTCAGTCGATCCGCGCATCGCCCCCATTTCCCCCCGCATTTCAGTCCATTTCTCTATGGGGACCACCACTTGACGTTTTAGCTCCTTTTTTTTGTTTTTTGAAGAAAAGTGTTCGATTTCTTACTTTTCCAGGTTTAATTAGTGTTTTAACACATTCACGATAAGGTTTTTGATTTTTATTTCCTTTCCAGCTCGTCTAAAAGCGTTCACAGGCAACCGATTTACTTAAATTAGAGATGAAAATAAAGAGAAATTTTCATTGATCATTTTTCTGAAAACAGATTCAAGAAATCTTAAGTTTGAAGAAAGTTCAGAATGTTTTAGCATGAGAAATTTCCCGGCTCACGGGATCCGAAATTGATTTACATTCAAAGGTTCATAACTTTCTTCAAAGTCAATATGTTAAATTCTTGAAATCTTTAGTTTGAAGAGCGAATTTTTAAAAACTAAAAACTAAAACAAACAAAACAAAGCTTGTTTTGCAAGAAAGCTTGTTTCTAGAAAGCTTTTTTTGACCGGAAACTGTTTTTTGAAAAAGACCTATTCCAAAACATCTAACATTCATGCGAATCTAATTAAACATAATTAGATTCGCAACTTGAAAGTTGCCAATCTAATAGAGGCAACTTGATACACTTATTCATTGCACTTTTTAGAAATGACTAATGCATCGATTAATCTACAGTTTTTACCAATAAAAAGGCGCATTTATTCTCTAAAACAGGCTTTTGACAGGCTTAGAAAAGCTTCGGTTTTATCGATTTGGAATCGATTCGAAACAAGAAGAAAACACTTAACTAAACTCGAAATTCTTAAAATTGTCAAAAGCTTATCGATGAAATGCTTTCATTTCCATTTTCTATTTCTATTACCAATTGTTTTTGTATTGGTCTTCCTTCTACTCACACGGAATTATCTGGAGAAAAAGAGCGGTTAGTTCTTAGAAGCAAATTTCTTTATTAGATTGGGAACTTGAAAGTTGGTACACTTATTTATTACACTTTTTAGAAATAACTAATGCACCGATTAATCTACAGTTTTTACTAATAAAAAGGCGCATTTATTCTCTAAAGCAGGCTTTTGACAGTCTTAGAAAAACTTCGGTTTTGTAGATTTCTAGGGGGCAAGAAGTTGAGGAACCAAAAAATGATGAACACTTGATGAAGGGATTTGAGCACTTTCTTCCACATAAACCTATTTTGATGTTAATATAAAAAAGATAGAGCATGAAAAGTTAAGTATACAGCCAAATTCTCAGCTCGATTTGTCTAATTGCTTTAGTTATACCGTAAATCCTCCATTAGAGCGACACGTCCTAATGCTAATTTAAACACCTCCCAGATCCAACTTTCTTCCACATAAACCTATTTTAGTGTCAATAAGAAAATAATAAGCTAGATAAATCGTCAAATTTTCAGCTAGATATAATCAATCGTTTTTATCATAGTTGCATTTGAAGAATTTTCAGAAAAACTTGAATTTCTGCTCAAATTTGTTTCAAAAGTTACCCAAATTTGCTTAAATTCTTAGGTTGCCACTTTCAAACTTCCTTTTTAACTAACAACTTGTTTATTAGACAAAACACCAAATAGAAAACCTTGATCCAAAAGATATTCGCCATTTTTATCGATGACTTGTTCCCATCTTCGGCGCAAGTCCCGGATCCCATTCTTGAAACACTGAGGAGCTTTGGAGGTAAATTTTCTTAAGGATTTCTTAAATCAGATAATAGATAACTTTTATGTAGAGAAGGCTAATTCAATTGGCCTATTAAATATGTTTTATGGAAGATACAAAAAGTGTACCAACTTTCAAGTTGCCAATCTAATAGTTGAGACCTATTAAGAACATTATTCTATCAACTTTACTCTATCAACTCTAATAGCATTACTCTATCAACAACATTATCTAATTCACTGTTGCTCTGAAGCTAAACAGCTCTGAAAGCTCACCTTAACATGTCTTATCCTTAAACCAATCATATTACTTCAATAGGAATCAAATATGCAACAGCGCCTGTCTATAATTTCATTATACGGTTTTTTTGTTTAAAAACGTCACTACCTGACGATTTTAATTTGTTTTCTTGAAATGTATGTTAAACATGGTCCTGTCTGTAGTTTATTTTCATGTTTAACATACATTTCATGTCTAATTAGCGTTTTTCTTTAACTTTTCCATCAATCGTTCGCTTTCTTTCTTATCAATGTTACTGGTATCAATCCTGTTCGCCTTATCAGTCAGTCTCAATTTTCTCAATCTAATTTCAAGTACAAATTTTCTGGGCATTTTGATACAGTTAGAGAAAAGTATCTAGATTTTGAATCTTGTCAAATTTCAGACAATTTCTGTTCAAAAACTACTAATATAATTCATAAATTCTTTCAATTGATCGTTTCGTTGTCTTCAACGCTTTAAAGATAATGAAACGACAATTGAAAGAATTTTATCCTTTAAAATGTTTCAGCTTCTCCACAACAAAATCTGAACTTCTTGCTCTTTGGTTCATTCACGAAAAAGTTTCAGACCTCATCGCTCAAGTAGTTCTTCTCTTGTTTCTCCTTGTTTTTTTTGTTCAGAAAGCTCGCCCACTTGAAATTTTGACCGTTTATCATCACAGGAAACGGACATTATTTTCTTTCAAAAAGACATCAACCATCAAGAGATCAGGAAAGTGTGTTGTCTAGCTCTGAATAGTCATAAGTCTCCAAGGATTTTGCTAAAAGCTTTTGTCTCACCAAATTTCTTCATTTCATAAACATTTTTCTATTCATTTCTAAGCTCAACAATAGCTCGAAAACTTTATGAAACGATCAAAAGGATTAAACGATCAACAAATCGCTCGTAAAGTTCAGTTTTAAAATTCAATCCAGGCTCTATTTTGATAATGTAGTGGTTTTCTCGGAATTTTGAGTTAATTCAACGTTTTATTTCACAAGTTTTCGAATAATAAAGCCTTGAAAAGTTTACTAAAGCTTTCAAATATAGCCTTGTCGATCAAACTCTTCTCAAATCAAGATTGAAAACAAAAGAATTCAACAAAATCCCATAAAGTTTCATAGTTCTAAAGCGTTCGCAAAAATAGAGTCCACCAAAAAAGGAGTGAATCGATGTGTATGCCCTTTTCCTTCCTTTCCTCTCTTTTCGATGATGTGTCTGTGAGTGGCGGTGTCGTCTTTTTCAATTCCTCTTTTTCCATTTTCCATTTTCCTTTCTCAAAACAGACTTCCGGGTGCCCAACCCCCAAAATGGCCCTCAATTCTTTTTCAATTCAACTCCCCCGTGTATCTAAAAAGATTTATTTGTACTCTGAGACAACTTTCTTTGTCCAAATTTATGAGAATAGTTTTTTTTTTCCGAATTTGGAAACGTTGAACTTTAAAGTTTTCGGTTTGACTCTCGAGATTTAGGGGAACAGATCGAATATTCAAGTGGAGCGATTTTTCGAGTAGGGCGTTGAAACTTTAAACCTGGATTCGACTCTTTCACTGAAGGTGCCAAACTTTTCTGATTTTAAGTTCTTTGTCCGATTAACCCTGGGATGAATAATTTGCTTCTAAATGCAATAGTATTCGTTAGTTTATTTCGTAGTTTATTAGTTCCATGACTTGTTCAGTGGTACAAGGTGATCAAAAAAATTCCCTCACACTTTACAAAAGAAGCTCCATTTTTCAGCCAAAACCCAGATCGAAATCCGACTTACTATATAGTATTTTAAAGCTGAAATTCTGGGGAGGATTACTACACCTAAATCATTCTGATCAGAGCCACCTAGCTTTCCAAAGAAGCATGGTAGTACGCTAGAGGCAAACTGTCATAGCGCTCACCTATTTGAAACTGTTTTCAATTGAAAAATCCTTTAAAAAGACTTTTTAAATGTACACTTTTCTTTTCAGCAACAGTTTAATTGTTATAATCAAAGAATAAAATCTTTCGTAAATACAAAATAAATACAAAATAGAAACGTAAACTAGTCTTTAAAAACTTGTTGTTCGAAAACAAGCGAAACTATGTTTGTCGGTTTGCCTTGAATGTAATGGCTTCTTGAAAAGACTAGAAATTTCTGATATGAGTGATTTACTTATAAAAATGTTCACCAGAATTTCAGCTTCAAAATACTATAAAAGACAGGAAATTTTGTTTTAGCTTTCATTTAGAAAATGAATCATTTACAAGTTTGCGGGAACTTTTTGATCACCCTGTATTGACCAAGCCATGCACATAGCTGTGCATACAAATACACTTACTAGTAAGATACCGAACAAAGCTGAGGAATGTACGTCAGCGAGTACATGATTCGAGCGGCTGAGTCGATTGTGTCGATCGATCAATCATTTACAAGTTTGCGGGAACTTTTTGTTCACCTTTTATTTGGACTAAATGCAGCACTAGTAGCACTAAAGTACGGTACTAAATACAGTTAGTATCGGTTAATTCTGGTACTAGTTTAGGACTGTACTAACCAAAATAACGCTTTTAAATTGTCATGTCTGGCTTGATTTGATTACAAATTTGATTATTGCTTCAATTGGCGGATTCAGTTTTGATTTAACTGACAATCAGCTTTACTTTAGTATTTCTTTTAGAAAAGTTTTAAGATCAAAGTTCCCTTTACACTCTAGATAGCTGGGCTTTCAAAACTGGTTCTCTATTACGTACTATTCATTGGTTTCCTTGATATTTCCGGTTGTGACTGCTGTTCTACTTGACTTCATAATAGGCTTCGCTAATTTTTTTTTTCCTCAGCAGAAACACCACTTCTTATCAATCCCCATTTTGATACGCTTTCTTTTCGATCACCCCACTTGAAAGGATCAGATGAGTGCACGAAAAGGCTGAAAGACTGAAAGAAATCAAATATTTTCTGCCTCTCTCCTCATTAGATACGTGGCTGAAGAAGTTTTTGAATTCAATTTACTTCATTTATTGTTTATAATTTTTTAAATCATTCTGCAAAAATCCTTTTCATTTCCATTGAAGTTCATATTTTCTTTTTTGATTTTGCTGTACTGGGCTGTACTGGTACTGGTACTGATGCTGTACTGGTACTGGTACTGGTGCTGTACTGGTACTGGTACTGGAATGTCAGTTGGACAACTGACATTCCAGTCTTGGTTGAGAAACAAAACCAGATTCCTACAACTTCCTCACCTTTTTAGCAACTCAAAATTTTTAAATAAATACTTTATTTTATTGTTACACCTCAAAAAGACTTGCTTTTTTTACGTATCTTGATTTCCAGGTTCTTATTTGAAGAAGCCAAGATGTGGATGGGCGACGAGATCCCCCAAGGTCCCACAGCTGCCTATGATAAGATAGCTCTATGGAAAATAGATTTTTCCAACTTTGCATACTTTAGTTACACAGATAGACTCAAAATTTTTGATTTTAAATCTCTTGGGCACCGCCGCTTGGTCACGGATTTAATAGAATGTTTCAAAATTGTAAAGGGCAGGCAACCGATCCCTCATTTTCGAGATTTATTCAAAGTTAATCCCACGGTTAGTTCAAGGAGAGGTTCTTTCGTTTTAGAAATTCCAGTCACCTCCAATAAGTTTGTTTATAACTCTTTTCCAATAAGAACTGCCAGAATTTGGAATCGACTCCCCGGCGTTTTGAGAGAGTTCAATAGTCTCGAAACCTTTAAATTATCTGTAGATGATCTTGCTCTTGAAGCTCTAGTGGATCCTTGACGTTATCTTTGCTACCCATATATTACATGTATTATATCGTGTTGCTTTTTATCGACCCTTTTCGTGTTATGTGTATGAATTCATGTGCTTTAATCTTAAATCTAGCGCACTTTATCTCAGGTCCTGAATAAAGTATCTATCTATCTATATATATCTTGATTTCCAGATTCTTATTTGAAGAAGCCAAGATGTGGAGGGGCCACGAGATCCCCCAAGGCCCCACAGCTGCCTATGATGTCATCGAGAATGGAGCTTTATTCTATAATGAAAAGGAGAATTCGATATTACATTTTGACACACATCGACAAGAAGCTGAAACATCGAAAATGCAATATTATGTACCGCTTAGCCTTGACTCTTCTCAATATTACTGGGCTCGATTGACCACAGTTACAGAGTGAGTGTTCGACAAAAGTCTACAGTACTCTTTAAACTAAAAATATGTAAAGTTTAAAAGAAAATATCCATACTATATGCCAAATTCATATCCTAACAAGCCACTTCATCTTTTCAATTTCAGGAAACCTCTCCGAGTTTTTGCCGTCTTGAAAAATCACACCACGAAGAATTTCGAATTTGTTTTATTGGTGTTGAGAGATGGACAAGCGAACATTATTCAACAGTCAAAAACTCAATTGAGACCTTTTGGATATGAGGTGAATTAAGGAATTATCAAAGAATTGTCAGATTCGAAATTCGGACTGAAATCAATAGAGTGCGTTCCTTTAAAGAAATCATGCAAAATAGGAAACCGATGTATTTTAAATAAACCGTAAATCTTTTTAAATTGCAGAAGAGATTCAAGATATTCAGTTAACTTCTACTGTAACCCGTTTCCTATTTTACATTATTTCTTGAGAGGAAAATACTCTAGAAAACAAAAAGCTTTTGATTTCTAGAGTTCATCAATTCTTTAGCTCTTTGCCTTTACAGTTGAGAATTTATAGTTTACTTTTAAACCACATTACTATTTTGAAATCTTACTAAATTGAACTTTCAACAAAGAAAAAAACAAGTCTTGTTTACCCCTCTCACCCACCTCAATTTTGTTCACCTTTACACTCTTGATCCAAGATTTTCCGCTCGATTTACTGTTCGCTGACTCGAAATGAATAGTGGAAAGGTTCGCCTCGTGGCCAGTTAAAAAATGAAAAGTCATATGGAAAACGTGTAAAACTGGAAAGCTTAGGTGAATATCAATCGATTATCGAATGATCAATTCGTGGCTTCGTTTTTGTCAAGAAAAGAGAATAAGAAGTTCACGAAAGCGAGAAGATCTTCGGATAGGGAACTCTTCAAGCAACAGGTAAGACTCTAAAGGAGTTAACTAATAGTTGTCAATGTCGAATGTCAAAATAGAATGCCAAAATCAAATAGAACATATTAGAAAGCTATTAATTGACAATGATAATGCAAAAAGCTAAAATTTGAAAGGCAGAACTTGCTGACCAAAACTTCCTGGTCAAACTTAGCATTTATTCCTTTTAAACTCTAAATTGATTCAGGACAGTGTTGATTATTTTGTTGTACTAGTTAAAGCCTAATCTACTTAATCCAAAAAGTCTAATAATAATCTATTTTCAGGTAACCAAAGAGCAACAAACTACATCTGAGAGCTCGTGTAGTGACGAATCTCTACCTGCGAAAATTCCCGCTGGAAGAACCAACTCAGCTCAATCCGAAAATCTGATTGTCAATGAAAATGAGCTTTATTTGGAAAAACCAAAACTCGATAATGTAAGTCCAGATATTTAACTTTAGATCTCTTACAAAATATTTAGAACTTCTGGTCAGTGATGATGCGGATTTGTTTCCCTGTACCCGATCGGATGGATGTCTCGTTGATTCCATTCAAAAAAGCGAAGTTATCTTTCAAGGTGCGAGCGCCAAGTCTGGAAAAGCCGCTACCAATCAAGTTGAATTTGTTGACAAGGTTAGTTTATCAAAGTTGATTCAGGGAAAACACGAAATTCATGTTTTGACATTACCATATCCGTCAAATCAAGGAACTAAACTTGTCTAGCTTAAGCTCAAGCTTTCGGCTAACTTTAAACAAGTAACAATGTTCAAGAGTGAATATTTGCACAAATTTGGTACTAGTCAAAGATCCGAATTGAACTATCAAATTTGGTACTATCTCCCCAAAATCTATTGATTTGTTGGATCAACCGGGCTTAATGGAAGTGGGACAACTTTTTTCCGCACCCGAATAAATGCGATCTTTTAAATAAGCTCTAAAAAGCTAATATTAACCAATTTCTATTCGAAAAGTTGTTTTTCTAGGTAATTTTAAGGCGTAGAATTCAAATCTTGACATATCAGAGCTTGCGGAAGCAAACGGACTGAGTTATACATAGCGACAATTTTCCCTAATTTGACCTATCCGTTTTCTCTTTCAAATTGAGCTCTAATCTGTCAAAATTTAGATTCTGAAGCTCTGATATGTCAAAATTTGAATTCTACGCCTTAAAATTACCTAGAAAAACAATTTTTGAAACAGAAATTGGTTAATATTTGCTTTTTAGAGCTTTGACCGGAAAAAGCTGCGCTAATGGGCCAGGTGCGCAAAAAAAAGGTCGCATTTGTCCAACTCCCGGTTTGATCAATCATTTTCTGCAATATAACCACCTTTCGCCAAAGAATTTTCTAAAAAGAACGAATTTTCAATTTTGAACTTTAGATTCTCGATGGACGCAGAAATCCGTGGACCAGTAATCCTCAATGATCGAGCTTACTTCTTAACCAAATCCTCTCCGCCCACTCTACTCGAAGCTGAAACAACAGATGAAGAGAATATTGGATATTTGACAGGATTACCTGGACTGAAATTCTTGAGATTACGGTAAAAATTTCTTTAAAACAATAAGCTCTTGGATTTTCAGTAAAAACGTGGTCTCTTGCAATGGAATGGCTACTCAAGGCGATCCGCCAAGTGCTTGTGATGATTCGATTTGGAGTAATTTGCAGATATTGGACGGGATTCTTTTCTTGGCTGCACTAGTAAGCTAAAATTTGAAATTAATGAAAAAGTGAGAATTCTCAGAACGATTATGGTCAAATTGCTGCTTTCACGCTAAATTTGAAACGATTGGATTGTCTAGATTGGCAAGAACATCCGATTATGGATAGGGTAAGTTCTTTGCTAGTTTATAGCCTTCATTCTTCTTCAAAACTGTTTTAATCTCCAAAGTTTTACTTATGATAATCTTATCAAGTAATCTTTCGATAGAATTTATCTTTCTGTTTCAGTTATCCGAAGAATACGACCCGATTCAAGGCATTCAAATCCGCGTCCATCAAAAGATTTCTCATGAAAATGAAGACTCTTTTCAAATGGGAATCCGTTTTAGGGCCAATAGGTGAGTTTTGAGTCAAAATTTCCTTAAGTAAGCTAAAGCTGAATTAATAAATGTTCTTTTTCCAGGCTTGGCCTCTCTTCAGATGACCAATTCTTTGCTCTTCCCAGGATAAAACTACAAAACGATTGATAGAATTATATATTAGGTTGATGCATAAGTCTTTTTATTCCTTTTCGTCTGCCGTTTCAAGCCAACAAATGCACCAATTAAACTACGGTTGATTTCATTAGAAAAACCAATTATTTTTCTGCAAAATAACATTAAAACGGGTTTAAAAATATTTTATGCCTGGATTTTCTTGAGAGTATGAAGTCGGGTAGTCAAAAAGGGCTAACTCGATGATGCGGTTTAGACACCTTAGCTAAAGAAAACCTATCTTCGTGTCAATAGATAAAAGATAGAGAAAAAAAAGTTTGATATTTCGCCAAAATTTCAGAGAAATTCATTCAGCCAATTTTTCCGTAGAGTTCTTATAGATTTTTACGAGAAAGGCGTTTTTCACTCTCGAATTTGCTTGAAAGTGAACCGAAATTGATTTAAAAAGATGCAAATTGAACAAAAAAACACTTTTTATTTAGAGAAAAGCATAAGTTAATTGGTGAATTTGTTACTTTTTAACAGAAGTACGAAAAAAACGAAAAGACTTATGCATCAACCTATTAAAATTTCAATGTACATGCAGAATACGTGTAGCTCGTTTCAGGCTTTGTAATGTTTGCCGGTTGTGTTTATAAATAATTTTCACAATTATAGGAGATTTATTGATATTCAAACGTTCAACAATGGTCGAAAGACATGAATTTATTATAAGAACACGCAGAATCAAAAAAAACAAACACTTTTGCACATCAGTTTCAAATTGTGTACAAAAAAATTCACCAGTTTCCATTCTTCAATCTTCAACGAAATCCAGCTTGCGTCAAATGGTTGAATCAACGAACGCCACGAGTTTCCTATCTTTGTGTACCAAAGGAGCTCACATTAATGAACTGATGTTAAATTGAAAGTTCAATGGTGGACTAGAACGATTCTGTGAGTGATTTTCAGAACTAAGAGCAAAATTCAAAACAAAAGCTTGCAGTTGTCTGAAAACAAAATGTCTGACTTACCTAGCATGCGTACAGTATGAGCTAGAGTCACTTGTTTCATAAAGTCCACCCCGAGAAGCGCTCAAGATTTCTTCCTGAATATTTGAGTTTTATTTCCTTTCAATTATTACTCCATCAAGCCCTTTATCTTCAATAACAAAGCGATCATTTTTCTGCAAGATCACCAAGAGCAAGACTTTGTTTCGATCTTCTCGAATCTTCGAAATTCTTATTCCTTCAACCGCTTGAATCACGTGGATTTCCAAAGATTCTAAATTCAAGATTTCTTGAATTCCTTGAGCTTTACCTATTTCTTTTATTAGTAACTACAATATTTAGCTACAATAGCTTTTAAAAACCCTCTTCGTCATTTTAACTCACCGTATTCCGGTTGTAAATACAGAATAGTATGCCCTCAATACGGTAAATCCCCATTGTCATTTCTGATCGACAAGTTGTAGGTGCTGCTGCCAAAAAATTAGAACCAGATTAGTCTTGATTCCATAATCTGATAAACTAAACCACCAAATACAAAATTGAATGAGCTAGCCTTACACGTAATCAATTCCATTGATAATGATGAACACGTTCCTGGCATATTCTCTGTCATACTCGGTGGATAATGCGTAAATTTTTCGCGTCCGATATTACGTCCACCTAGCCACGAATTGCATGAGATTGCAAGTCAACTGATGTGATTGATTTTTCAGTGTTTTAGTAAATTTCAAGATGAGTAGTTTTATTCATATCGAAATCATCGATTCAAATTGATATTCAAATGTGGCCACATTTGATACGTCGGCGTAAAGTCGTTATGTCGTTACGCTCTTATCAGCTCGGTATCGACTGTCTGAATGCTTCTCGCCCAACCAATAGATCTGTAACCTCCGTTACTGATCGATTTTTTTCTCTACAATTTTCTTTAATTTCTAATTTGATCGATTCAAATTGATGTTCAAATGTGGTCACACACATGATTCCTTATAATTCATTAGCTTTCGTTGTAAAAACTATTCTTGAACTGAACTTCTAATACAGTGGTCCACAAAAGTAATGCCCGCGAATGCGTGAAATAAATTGATTTTTGTCTCATCGGTAAATAGCACTTTCGCCCAATCACTTATTGTCCAACTTCGGTAGGTCCATGCAAAATCAAGGCGCTGCTTCCGGTGCTTATATTCATCAGAGGTTTACGGGCAGCCCATCTTGCATATAATCCAGCTTGATTTAATCGTCGTCTGATCGTTTCCGGCGAAACAATCTTGCTAAATTGATCACTCACCATTTGGCTTCCATCGGTTGCTGTTTTGCTCGGATCGTTTTCCACCATTTGGATCACGGCTTGATCTTCTTTTGTCGTCGGCCACTCTTGAGGCCTCGATGAAGGTTTTTGCCGGCTTTTGATTGAGAAAAAATGCGGCGCACTGTCCATATCGAGCAATTAAAGAGGTTGGCCACATCCCTCTCCCGCATCCCATTTTCCTGGGCCTTTAGCGATTTGGAGCTTCTTCGGAGTGTCAAGATTTTTCATGTCAGGAATCTAAATAATACAATAGAATACATTTAATGTTCATAGAAGGAGAAACAAAAAGAATAATCATGAAAACGAACAATGGGGCATTACTTTTGTGGAGCTAATTTTAGGGGTAATTGCACTCTTCCACATCGATCTTTTGATTGGAAGGATCTCAATCAAAAAAAATGCAGTTATTTAACAACTAGAATTTCTAAAGTATTTTAAAAGAAAAAAAAATATATTTTAAATACATGTTTTCAGGAGGAATTTTGCAAAAAATACTTTTGAATGGCAATGGGGCATTACTTTTGTGGACCACTGTATCTAGTTCTTTTCTTTTATCGTCTTGTTTTACTTATAAGTAAGCGAATAACTCTCAAATTCAAATTCAATTCAAAAAAGCTGAGTTTTCATTCGATTTCGTACGCATGATATATAGTTAAGTGTAGAGTTACAGTAGTCTAATCCAATCAAGCCAACGCTAATTAGACCCTTAATGAGCTAGTTTAAGTTTACTGTGATGGTTACAAAAATATTTTTCGATTAGCCAATTCTTATTATTTTAATATTCAGAAAGCTCTATTGTTTTCTATAAATAGAGTATACAGTGCGTTTCAAATTCTTAAACGCACCCTCTAAAATAGCGGATTTTGCATTTTGACCACCGCTACAACTATTAATCTTTTTCTATTAGAAAGAGCATGTCTTAAAACCTAAATAACACGAAAAAGAAGCATACTGTAAAAAGTAAAAATTTTCAAAATAGAAACTTTTTGCTAAATCAACCGTTTCAAATTCTTAAACGCACCCGCCTTTGCGTTGTTGTTATTTGAAATTTTTCGTTTTGTTGTGCGTAGTTTTTTATTAAATTTATAATTTTTGTTAATTTTCAGGTAAATGGCACACGGAAAGCTGCTCACGGATTATGAGAAAGGCCAGATTGATGCCCGTTTGAGCATTGGCGACTCAATAAGGAAAATCGCAAAAAAATTTGGGCCGATCCGACTCTTCCATGCGAAATTATATAAAGTCCGAGTTCGTTTCTACACCAAAGAAGAAGCCAGGACCAAAACCAAAGCTTACACCGCGAGCTAGACGCCATATTATGAACAACATCCAAGGAAAAACGATCAATGAAGTGAAAACGGAACGGAAAATCGACTCTTCGAAGTCGAAAATTTGGCGAGCCATCAAGGAAAAACGCACATATCGATCAACAATTATTGAATATCCAACCGACCGTGAAGCTTTTGCACAAGAAAGCCCGATTGGCCTTCGCCAAGACTCATATGGATCAAAATTGGTCTATGGTTGGAAATCCGCTTATGTTTTATTATTTTTTTGCGTTTAGGTGATCTTTTCCGATAAGAAGAAATGGAATTTGGATGGCCCCGATGGCGTTGGCTACTATTGGAGGGATCTTCGACGTGATCCGATGGTGTTTGGAACCGGAAACTTTGGCGGTGGTTCTGTGATGGTTTGGGCCGCCTTTTGTGCTGATGGAACGGTCGCTCTGAAGATGGTTTCGATTCGGATGACTAGATAGATATCTTGAACAATTGCTTGTTGCCATTTTGGCTCCTAAATCCAACCGTTCCCGATTTGTTTCAACACGACAACGCGTCAATTCATCGAGCCGGAGACACCCTGAACTGGCTGAACAGCAACAACATTGCAACTTTGGACTGACCCGCTCAGTCTCTTGACCTCAATCCGATAGAAAATTTATGGGGAATACTTGTCCGAGCTGTCTACAAGAATCAGCGTCAGTTTCAAGACGTTTCTGCACTTAAAGCAGCAATTTTTTCGGCCTGGAGTGATCTCGACGTCTCTGCTCTTCAAAACCTCATCAATTCAATGTCAGACCGCATTTTTCAAGTAATTAATCGTTCTGGTGCGTGTACAGATCATTAGTTTTGATTTTTTACCTTTGATTTTTAATTTTTGTCGATAAATAAAAATATTTTCATAGTGCGTTTAAGAATTTGGAACGGTTGATTTAGCAAAAAGTTTCTATTTTGAAAATTTTTACTTTTTACAGTATGCCTATTTTTCGTGTTATTTAGGTTTTTTTTTTTTGCTCTTTCTAATAGAAAAAGATTAATAGTTGTAGCGGTGGTCAAAATGCAAAATCCGCTATTTTAGAGGGTGCGTTTAAGAATTTGAAACGCACTGTAGTAAGCAACAGCTGCTAAAAGTTGCTAAAATTCAATTCAGTTCATTCCGAGAAAGAAATGAAAATAAGTTGAACTTTCTGTTATGATCTGTCGGTTTCGGTGTACTTTCCCCCGTAGACAGCACAATCTTCATAATGGCATGCTAGATTTGTAAACTTTTCCACCTGAATATAGCTCATTGTGACACCGAAATTGCCATAGTCTTTCATTTGTTCAACTGGGCTCCTGCCTTCACTGACGAAAAAACCTAAATCAAGGGGCTACTCGATTTTCAGATCCTTTGGCATTTTCGTCAAAATTGATGATTCATTCCAGGCGTTACGGAAAATCACGATCACTTTTCCA